GGTAGTTTGGAGTGCCTCTGGGTAGTTTGGAGTATTCTTCGGGTAGTTATGGAGTGTTCTCTGAGTAGTTTGGAGTACTCTGGGTAGTTTGGAGTACCTCTGGGTAGTTTGGAGTACTCTGGATAACTTGGAGTGCCCTCTGGGTACTTGTGAGTACTCTCTGGGAAGTTGGGAGTGTTCTCTGGGTAGCTTGGAGTACTCTCTGGGTAGCTTGGAGTGTTCACTGGGTAATTTGGAGTATTTTATGGGTGGCTTGAAGTACTCTCTGGGTAGTTTGGAGTACTCTCTGCGTAATTCGGAGTACCCTCTGAGTAGTTTGGAGTACCCTCTGGGTAGTTGGGAGTACTCTCTGGGTAGTTTGGAATGTTCACTGGGTAATTTGGAGTATTTTTGGGTGGCTTGAAGTACTCTGGGTAGTTTGGAGTACTCTCTGGGTGGTTGGGAGTACTATCTCGGTAGCCTTGGTGCTGGGTGGGGGCCTTCAGAGCTGAGGTGAGGGCCTTGGAGTTGGGGGAGCCCTTGGAACTGAGGGGGTCCTCATAGCTGAGTGGGAGCCCTTCAGAGCTAAGGGGGCGCCCAGAGCTGCAGGGAACCCTTGGGGCTAAGGAGGAGCCTCAGAGCTGGGGAGCCTTTGGAGCTGAGAGGGGCCTTTGGAGTTAAGTGGGGCCTTTGGAGCTGAGTGGGGACCTTTGGAGCTTAGGGGGTACCTCCGAGCTGGGGGGACATTTGGAGCTGAAGGGTGCTTCCCCCCCTTTTCATGGGAGCGGTGCTGAGTGAGTCTGTCCTCACGTTGGAGTCACCTGAGAAGTGAAATCTTCCAGTTACACTTGGCCCACAGTGAGGCAACAGACTCGACTCGGGGTGAAGTGTGCGCCCTAGAAATCATAGATGGGGTGCTGGTGGGCCCTTCCTCCACCTGCAGGGCTGTGGTCTGCGGGGTGACCCTCTCCCACATAGGCTTTTTGTGGGGTTCCCATGGCCAAGGCACCATGGGACTACTCGGCCGTGTCGTGATAGAAGACAGGTCGTCTCGGCTGGGCAGCAGGGTTTCTGGGTGGCCATCTGTCTGGGTGGCCGTCTGTCTGCTCATTCTTAGAAGGTTCCTGAGGAGACAACTGGCCTGGCTAGACGAGAAAGATGGAGAGAAAATGGGTGGATGAGCCCCCCCCGGCCAGCTGCGGGGTCCCCACCTTGACGAGAAAGACGGAGAGAAAATGGGCGGATGGACCCCCCCCCGGCTGTGGGGTCCCCACCTTGATGAGAAAGATGGAGAGAAAGTGGGTGGACGGAGCCCCCTCCATCTGCGGGGTCCCCATCTTTAACCGCATGGGGTGACCTTGGCCTCACGTACCCGCGAGAAGCAGGACAGATGAGAAGACGCATGTGGTCTCGGGTTGTCGTAGACTCAGGCACGAGGGCCCACAGGGGAGCCTGGGTAGGGTTTCCCTGCCTGGCCGCCTCGTGTTCTGGCGCCATCCCAGCACCGTCTCTCGCAGTGGAGGGACCCGCTGCTCCGAAGGGCATGCCCAGAGAGGAAGAGTTGGCAGTCTCTGAGGTCACCGGGCCGGGCCCGGGCGCGGGCGGCTCAGCAGCACTGCCAGGCCTCCCGGCCCTGCGGAAGCTCCGGGTCGTCTCCTGTTGCTCTCACAGGGTCACTGAAAGGCCCTCCTGCCCGCTGCCGCCCTCTTCCTGAGTGGGAGGTGCCACAGAGAGCGTGCGCCGTAGCCGAGAGGCCTGCTGAGGGGTGCCCTCGCCTGTGCTGCTGCAGTGGCTGGGACAGACGGCCTTGGTGGGCAGATGCCAGGTGTGTGTCCGGCCGCGGGCGCCGGCTCAGTGGTGCGACAGGCACACAGGGCGGGGGCCTGGACAGACAGCCGTGGTCCAGGTCAGGGAGACGCCCAAGGACGAGAGGAAATTCCGCGAACGGCAAGCACATCTCGAGCAGGGGCTTGTTTAAACCGTGTGCAGCCCACGACGCGTGGTTCTTCCCAGCGTTGAAGGCATTTGCGGTTACTGTCGTGTCTCGGGGTGGTTAGCCCCCCGCCATCGCCAGTCCTCAGGCGCTTGCGGGACAGCGACCTGACTTTGCCAGTTTGGAGAATGACAGCACCAGTGGGTTTTGGGTGGTTATCTGTGTATTCACCGATTTTGTGTGCTTTTACCGGTTGTGGGTGTTGTCACCGGCTTACCTGCCGCTCCCTTTCCTGCCTGGCCTGCCTTCTTGTTGATTTTTCCGAGCCCTGTTCTCAGGGGAGAAGGAATGGACAACCTCCTCCAGCTGTCCTGGCACCCAGTGACACCCCCGTGGAGAGCGGTGGCTGGAACCTGGGGCATACTGCAGCAGGGACGTCGGGTGGGCGTCAGGCGGGTTCAGGTCAGCATCAGTCCTCTGCCAGGGCTGCAGGGTGGTCTCTCCTCCAGGGCCTGTGGGGCAGGCTGTGGGGGCTGCATTGCAAGTTCCTTCCCTCCGATGTGTCCCTGGGCTGTGGCCAGCACGCATGCGTCTGTGGCTTTGGGACTGAAGGCTGTGAAGTCAAGCTTTCTGCCCCCCCCACCGAAGCCCTTGTCATTCAGGACACCTGGGTGTGCCCACCCTGTGCCAGGTGCAGCGGTGGGGCATCGAGCATCAGCACCTGCAGGTCCAAGGTAGCCGTCTTGCTTCTCCCCGATAGTGTCCCCCCATCTGGAACAGCACCCTCAGCACACACCCCTCCTTTCTCTGCCCTGCTGCTGCCGGAGGCACAAGCCAAGAAGCTGTGGGTGGTGTGGTGGGGGCGCCGGGGCTGCGCGCTGTGGGGAGGGGGAGCAGGCATGGGACGCTCTGCATTCGCAGCAGTCGGGGGGGTGGAGGCAGGATGCGGGGGTAGGGGGATGCCGACACAGAGCCTCTGGGCCCGAGGTGGCTGCTGCTGGGTCCCTGGGGAAAGGCATGAGGCAGGCAGGGCCGAAGAACCTCCCTGGCTGTGCCCCAGCCTTTGGACACAGCCCATCCTGTCCCTGTGTGGCCTGGCCTGGAGCTGAGGTCAGGCCACTGAGGGAGAGAGGACAGACAGGTCAGGAGGGGAGTGGTCAGTCCTGGGGACCAGTCCACACCCAGGGCACTGGATTGGAGCCCAGTGTGTGCTGAGGTTCCACGCTGGGGGGAGGGGGCAGGCCCCAGGGCTCGCCATAGCTCTGGCCTCCCTCTACCGGCCCTGAGCAGGCAGGACCTGAGGGCCGAGGTGGCCGGGCAGGTGTTTGTGTTTGAGGCTCAGTTAGAGGTTGCTGAGGGGTTGATAGCTGAAGTGGGGTGTATGTGAGTGTGTCCACACAGACCTGGCCCCAGGGGAGGAGGAGGGGAGGGCAGGGGCCCGGGGCCCCATGCCACGCCCCTTGGAAGGGCAGCACTTTGAGGGGGTATCTTGGGAGCCAGCGTGGTCTTTCTGTGTGAAGAAAGCGCCACCTGACGGGGGCGTCACTGGGCAACTTCCTGGAGGTCCTTAGGTCTTCCTCTCTGTCCCGGATGCAGGCGTGTTCTGGAACTTTCTCAGGCTGGTGAGCTAAGTGTTGGAACCTGCCATAGGGCCTCATGTTGTACTGGAGCAGGAAAAGGAAGACTGTCCTGACGAGCTGGCGCCTCCCAGTTAGCAGTGCTGGATTTCTGGGCTGTGTTCTGAGGGTTGCTGGCCTGCTGCTGTCCTTGGGAGGCTTTGCCACTTGAGGGTGGCTGGCCTGCTGCTGTCCTCGGGAGGCTTTGCCACGCGGGTGCTTCCCTTAGTGAGGGCATGGCTTTAGGCGATAACCGCGGCCCCCGCCCACTGCTGGGAGCTGACCTCATTCTCTGTACCGTTCCATTTCTGAGTTTAGATGGTCGTGTGATGCAGAAGGCTTTGTGAACTTGGGGGCGGGGACTCAGAGACACACATGGCTCCTCTAACTGGTCGACCAGGCCCAGGAAAAGCCCAGTGACCCCTCACCCTGGGAGGAGAAGCCTCTGCTGCTCCTGGGTCGTCTTGTTTTTCTTTGCTGTATCAGACGCCAGCCCCCCCTTGCTTCTGGCAGCTCGTCCCTCTGACTAAGTGAAGTTACCTGGGCTGGCTCACAGGCTGTGTTCGCTTGTTTGTTTCCTGCTTCCCGAGTCTTCTCTGGGGCCTCCGACCCTCTGTGTGAAGGGAGGAAACGCAGGCAGGAAGCTGGCGCCGCTGACTGGACAGCGCGGCGGTCCCGTGCCCCCGATCCTGTCACACACACCGTCCTGGCTGCCCCCTGGGGACTAGAACTTCCCTCTCCCCCGGCCGGGCCCAGGTGGGAAGGCTGGGGTCCTGGGAGGGACCTCGCTGAGTCAGTTTCTGGGTTCTCGCCTGCTAGAAGTTGCAGAATTGTCAGGAAGGACAGACAGCCGCGCCCCCTCAGCTGTAGGGGAGGGGGTCGCACCATCAGCAGTGAGGCTGAGATCGAGCCCCCCGGCCCCCTCCTCCAGTGCTGCCCTTGACCAACCACAGCCCACACCGGGAAGTCGAAGTCCGTGGGCAGAGTCCCTGTGGCGAGGGCCATGGAGGTGGTGCACTCCTGGCTACATCATCCGGGCCCCAGTTGTCCCAACCCCAGCGGGTCAGTCGCCCGGCTGCACAAGACCCTAGGGGGCCGCTTTTGCTCCACCTTGGCCTTCTGAGTGTGGCATGTGGTGCTGCCCTGAGTGGGTGGCCCCTACAGGGGCCGCCTGGTATGGGAAATGGCTATCTCCCAGCGCCTTTATTTTACCGCGGCGAAGGCGGACGTAACAAAACACGCGCCATGTCAGCAGTCTTCCCCCGTACGGTTCAGGGACGTTAATTTTGTTCATCACGTTGTTCATCCGTCACCACTGTCTGTTCCCACGTTTTTCCATCACCTTTAACAGGAGCTTGGTGCCCCCTAAGCGCTGAGTACCTCCTCCCTCCCCCCACTGCTGGAAACCACTGACGCGCCAGGGCTCTGCATTTGCCTGGCTTAGATAATGCGTGTAGACGGGATTGTGTACGCTTTGTCGTTTGTGACTGACCGATTTCACTCAGCACTGTGATTTCAAGCTTCGCCCACGTGGTATCACGCGTCCGGACTTCATTCCCTTCGCGAATGAGAAGTGTTCCGTTGTGTGGATGGACCACGTTTTGTTCGTCCGTCATCTGTTGAGGACATTCAGACTGTTCCCACTTTTTGATGACTATGAATAGCGCCGCAGTGAACGTTGGTGTATTCCCAGTGACTTTTAAAACATTCTGGGAGTGAGAAAAAGACCCTGCCTTGTATCTTTCCTTTGCTTTGTTCTTGTTTTATGTGGTTTCCGTTGGTGGGTGGTGGACCTGAAAAAAGGTCTGGGGGCCAAAATTAACAGCTATCCCCCTTCCACCCGTGAAATCCCAGACCAGTGGGCTTTTGCCAGATTGCCTTTCACGATTCTGATCAGTCATTTTTTTGCTGAGGTGCCTCTCGCACTGTTGTTTGAGCGTTAACTCTCTTCTCTTTCACACTAGCGTTCCACGCCTACGGGAAAGCGGGGAAGATGCTGGTGGAGACCAGGTAACGCGCAGCTTGCCCTGACACGGTCCCCTCATCTGCCTCCCCTCTGCTGAGGACAGACTTGAGGATCTACAGAGTGAAGGATGTGTTTCCTTTGTGGGTTGGGTTGTAACTTAGAGTATGTTTCTGAAGTGTTACTTACTAAAAAGTTGGAAGTCCAATTTACTGTGCCCTTAAAATGATTAGCGTCAGGGTCGAAAGCGTTATTTGAGTCTTACTAAGAAAAATATGAAAATGGCAAACTGGTGGAACACAGCAAAATAGCTCTCCCTCAGTCATTCTTCATCTCTCCGTGCTGTTCCCGAACCGCCATCCCTCCCCAGACTCCACTGCGGTAAATGGGAAATGTCATACTTTTCTTCCCTTGGAGTAAAATTTTATGAGATGAAAAAATTGCTGGGAAATTGCGCTTTTAGGTTTCTAAGTTAGGGAATTGTAAACTAGAAAGAACAACCCTCTTTGAAAGCAGTTGATTGTTCTTTTAACTTGTCTAACATGGCGGCATGTTTTTGTAGCCCCTGAAAGAACTTTTTGAACCTCCTGCAGAGATAAAAATATAATACCGCATAAAGAAAACTTTAGTGTTTCTCAACATTCATTCCAAGTAAAATAGCGAGCTCTATAAAACATGCCCGACCCCTGGAAACCATGGGGCGTTCTAAGTTGCACCTCCGCTCAGCCCAACCTCCTGGTTGTCCCGCGTCCGCGGCGGGGCTGTGCAGGTGGGCCTCGGGTGCGCTGTCCTCTCCCGTGATGTGGGCGCGTGGGCCGGATTTTCCGCTGAGGGGATAGCGGCTCCTTCTGAAATCTCACTGAATCCTTCCTTCCTGTCCTTACAGCATGATCGGGCTTATGCTGGGGACCTGCATTGCTTTCTACGTTGTGATCGGTGACTTGGGGTCCAACTTCTTTGCTCGACTGTTTGGGTTTCAGGTAAGGACGCCTTCAGGTGTGTGGTTCACGTGCGTGTGTGCGGTCGCCTGAGTGGCCGCTCAGTGTGGCCCTTGCGCGGGTCCCTGTGGATGCCAGCTTGAGAGCAGTGCAGCTGGCTGGGAGAGGCGCCTGCGTTAGGCCTCGGGGTCAGCCCAGGTCCTGGGAATCAGGCATCTGGAGGGACTAGAATTGCAGAGGCTTCCTGGGGGCACGTCCTGGGAAGGTAGTGGAAGTGAAGCGGGGAGCGGAGGAGCTCCAGGGCACAGTGCAGGCTGACCGCAGAGAAGGGCGCAGCCACCACCACCTGGCACTGGTTCCCATGCAGGTCCGCCTCCAGGGACGGGCGTGTCGGGCCCAGCGAGGCTGCCCCCATGCAGTGCTGCCAGGGGGTCTCCAGGATGCATGGCCTCTGTGTGCTGCCGTGACGCATGGGCTGGGGGATCCGCGGCTATTGGGGTCTTGAGGGTGTGCCAGGCAATGTTTCAGCTGGCTCTGTGCAGCTCCACCTGGCTGTTGGCTCTGGGTCAGGGACTGTGACGTCAGACGCATGTGGCTCCAGCCACAGTAGAGATCTCCAGCCCATGGCATGCTCGGCTAGCATGGGCACCAGCCTGGAGTGGTGGTGAGCTTTCCGGGTCAGAGCTTCCAGTCTTCCTTCTGCAGCAAGGTCGCATCGGGTCGCGTCTGTTTCGGGCCGGGGGTGCATCTCCTCGGGCTCCGTCTCTTCTGGCTCCATCTGGGTCCTGCCTCTCCCCCTGCATCCAGCTCTCTGTGCAGAGGGAGGCCTGTTGGCTGCGTGGAGCAACAGTGGCCCCCGGTGACCGCACGGTGCAGCATACACAGACCAGTTCCTGTCTGGGTGTTCCCACGTCTGGGTCTCACCGTGTCCGAGGGGCCGCCGTCCTTGGTTTGGATGGTCTCAGTCTGTGGCTTTGCTGGACCCTGCAGGGACTGGAAGCGGTCAGTGACCGAGGCAGGATAGCACAATGGTGAGAGAAGCTTCCGGAAGCCTTCAGCCCAGATTGGAGCCTCACTGGCTTTCTGTTCTTGGATGTAGCTGGTTCTCTGGGCCTGTGTCCTCACCTGTCAGCAGGCAGGACCGTAGGCACCTGCGTGTCCCCATCTGTCAACTGGTGGGACCACGGGCACCTCCACGGGGCAGACGGGGCCCAGCCCAGGGCGGCAGCCCCTCACCTCTTTCTCTGCCCGCCAACCCTCCCAGGTGACCAGCCACTTCCGTGTCTTCCTGCTGGTGGTGGTGTCCTTGTGTATCGTGCTGCCGCTGAGCCTGCAGAGGAACATGATGGCCTCCATCCAGTCCTTCAGTGCCATGGCGCTCATCTTCTACACCGTGTTCATGTTCGTGGTGAGTCTGCGGGCGCCCACGGGCCGGGGGAGGGCCGGGGTGATGGCCGAGCTCTCGCACAGGCCTCCGTCGCCCACTCTGCTCGCAGATCTTGCTGTCCTCACTCAAGCACGGCCTCTTCGGCGGGCAGTGGCTGCAGCGGGTCAGCTTCGTGCGCTGGGAGGGCATCTTCCGCTGCATCCCCATCTTTGGCATGTCCTTCGCCTGCCAGTCGTGAGTACCTGCCCCGGCCAGGCTGTGGTGCACAGAGTCCGTGGGTGGGGGCCGCGGCGTGCAGGGTCCGTGGGCCGGGGGGCCGTGGCACAGAGGGCTCTTGGGCAGGGGGCTGCAGCACGGGAGGGGGTCGCCTGCCCCTCTCCTTGCATCGTCCCTCACACGTCAGGAGCAGCGTCCTGCTCAGCCTCAACCCCGCCCCTGAGCTGAAGGGACAGCTGTGCTTTAGTCGGATTCCCACATGCAGAGGTGGCCGTGGAAGGCAATGCCCTCCACCTTCTGCCAGAACCGAGCTGTTCGTTTGAGGATATTGAAAAGGAAATCGCAGACGTTGACTTCAGGATGCTGTGGGGTGGCTTTGGGGTACCTGCATGTGTGTGTGGGAGTGTGTGTGTGTGCGCACATGTATGAGTGTGCGTAGTTTCTGGCAGAGCTGCCCCCTTTTAGTGCACACACCTCATGCCAGGCATCAACGCCTGTGACAGGGTTGGTTCACACTGCTGTGCTGACACCCGCGTGTGCTGTCCAAGTCGCCACTCCCAGCCTGGCTTCCGGCAGCGCTCCGGCCTAACTGCTCGTGTCCCCACCACGGTTGGCGGCGGGATGGCGTTCTTTACCGCCCCCTGCGACCGGGCGTGCTCTCGGCCTGCGTGTGGCTTTTAAAAACACAGCCTCAGCAGGCGTTGGTGGTTTGTGCACGTGTGAGGGTGTAAGTAATTGGTGAGCCTGCCGGGTCTGGGTCCTGGGCGAAGGTTGTGAGCACACATGCATTCTGCCTCGTGGAGGGGGCGTCCAGCCTAAGCGTGTGTCCTGGTCTTGGGGCAGAGGAGACCACTGCCAGTGCGACTTGCCCGGAGTGGGGCACATCCAGTGCCTTGAATACGTGGACGTTTGCCAGGCACCGAGGCACCGTGTGGGGGGGACGGCCAGGCCCCGCCCATGTGGCCCGTCCAGGCGTTTCCAGGGACAAGCAGGCCTCCGCGGCCACCACGGCCTGCTCTTCTGGTCTCTCACAGTCCAGGGTGCCTGGTCAGGCCAGCCATTGTGGGCCCAGGGGCGCGGCCGCGGCTGCCCTGAGCGTGAGGGCGGGTCCCCGGAGGCCCAAGAGGGCCGTCCGCACGGAAGCCGCACCCTGTCTGTGCGGCTGGGGCGGGAGGCGCGCGCAGGGCTGTGCATGGAAGCTCCGTTGGACTTGAGTTCAGAGTCATGAAGGGCGGCCTTGCTGGGTGGCAGTCTGGGAATGCTTGGTGGGAGTCGGTGGCCGGGGGGCACCTCCTTCCTGTAGTGCAGTCCCTCTGACCAGAGGTGGGCTCGGGTGGAACTGTTTCTCTGGGAGGGCCCGTCGTCCTGGGGCACGTAGCCAGTTGGGGGCCAGGGTGGGGCACCTCCCCACACTCCCCCCCACCCAGTAACAGCAGTCCCTGCAGCCAGGGCTTCCAACATACATACATGTTGGGTGAGCCATGGACCCCCGAGCCCTGTGCTGGGCTCCCCCACACGGGTACGGCTGGTGTGGGCTTTCTGCTCCAGCGGGGGTAGTCAGTGCTTGAAGCCCATGCAGGCACTGTCTTCTCCCGGAGTGTCAGGCTGGGACACACGGCGTTAGGCCAGCTGTCTGTGTCCCGAGTCTTTGCTGTCTCCCAGGGGATGGGGGAAAGGCAGGGTGTGGCTGCCTGGCTTCCTCCTGGGCCTGGAGAGGGGAGAGCAGCCCCCACCCACGCAGTGCGGGTGGAAGGGCGTCAGCGTCCGCGCAGCATGCCTCCCCCTGTGCTCATCACGCCTTCCAGGCTGGGGCGTCCTCCTTTCCTCCCTTCCCTGTTTAAAGGTGGTCTTGGGGTCTGACTCTGCTGATGATTCCAGTTGCTGTGGAGTTGATTCCAACTCGTGGTGACCCCATGTGTGCAGAGTAGAATAGCTCCATCGGGTTTTCAAGGCTGTGACCTTTCAGAAGCAGATTGCCAGGCCTTTCTTCCAAGACACCTGGGGGTGGACTTGAACCTCCCACCTTACTGTTAGCAGTGGAGCATGCTCACCGTTGGCACCCCCTGGGGACACGCTTGTGCATTTATTGGCTGATCATCGCCTCCTTCCCCACCCCCCGCCCATCCCAACCTCCGGCCTGGTTGTGTGCCGACCCGGAAGGCAGCAGCCCACAAAACACACCAGAAAGCAGCTGCCGGCACTCGCATTCACCGAGCATTCCCTCCACTTTCTTCCGATCGGGCCCCCTTGCCAGCCCCTCGGCGCAGCTCCCTCCTCCCTGCTGCACCCAGACCCCTGTGCCTCCACCCGCTCCTCCTCCCCAAGCGCCCCCTCTGCCCGCCCACACCTGTCCACACGCTGGGCCCTGCCTGTGCCCCTCCGGCCGCTGCTGCGTTTCTCCCTGCAGGCAGTGGGTCAGGTCCTAGCCGGCAGGTGACCAGTCCCTTCTAGCTCACATAGTGCACTGCGCACTGACCCCTCTGAGCTGTGGACACGGGGGGAATAGTGGGGAGGGGGTTCTAAGTGGACATTTTGACGACTCTCCGCCGATGGTGTTGTGAGACCTTGGCGTCAGCTCCAAGCGTCCTGGTGCGGTGGTGCGTGAGTGAGGGGAGGCGGCCGCGGAAGATGTGAGCTCGCGTGGTGACGGGGCGTATTTTTCTGGAGTCACTTTGTGAAATGTCTTGTGCTCTTGCAGCCAGGTTCTGCCCACCTATGACAGCCTGGACGAGCCCTCCGTGAAGACCATGAGCTCCATATTCGCTTCCTCCCTCAACGTGGTCACCACCTTCTACGTCACGGTAGGGGCCCTCTTCGCTGTCGGCACGGTGGGTGCCATGCGGCTGGCGGGCCCTCTTCCTGTCACCTCCCAGTAGCCCCATGGTGATGACCTGTCCAACTTTGGCGCTTTGCTCTTGGGTCACGGGCTCGCCCTGCATCTGCTGCGCGTGCCAACCGCTCTCCTTTCTAATCTCGTGAGCCCGCCCTGCCCGAGCCCCGCCGGTCACCCTGGGCCGGCCACACCAGCCGCCGCCTCCCGCGGCCAGCAGGACCCCCAGGTGGCTGGTGTTGGTCAGGCTTCACCTGGTACCTCTTGTCACCATCTCACCAAGACCTTTGTTAAAGTGGTTTTCCCCGTGGAAATGGGACACATTCACCAAAGAGGAATTGGAAAGTATAAAATAGCAGAGGAAGAAAGTAACCCGGCATACAGTTACCATCACCTTTTTGGGAGGTTTTTCTTCCCACCTTCTTATGCTCCTACCCGTTGTCTTTTGTACGTGCTCAGTGAAGCTGTAAGCCCTCGGGTTGTAACTTTGTTCCTCCACCATGTGGTTCCATGGCCCAGTTCTCTAGGTGGTTACAGATGGTCCGCCCCGTGCCTCCCTGGCTTGGGCTTTGAAGCCAGGCTCAGAGCAGCCACTCTGGCGGGTCAGCGGGCACTTGCCCCCTCTCTTCTTGCGGGCAGCTCTGTGTTCTCATCGCCCTCCTGTCCTGGGGAGTGTGACGTCGGACCCTCAGTCTTGACACGTCCATTTGGGCCTCCTGGTTCTCAGGAGAGGCGTTGTCACCCGTGGCCAAGCTGTGTGACGCCCATCCTCAGGGCGGGTGCCCATGTGTCTTGTCTCCCACCAGGTGGGGTTTTTCGGGTACGTCAGTTTCACCGAGGCCATCGCCGGCAACGTGCTCATGAACTTCCCCTCCAACCTGGTGACAGAGATGCTGCGCGTGGGCTTCCTCATGTCTGTGGCCTTCGGCTTCCCCATGATGATCCTGCCCTGCAGGCAGGCCCTCAGCACCCTTCTCTTCGAGCAGCAGGTGAGCCTGGCCCACGGGGCCCTGGGCTCCGGAAGTGGAGCTTTCCCGGTCTTTTTTCGTTTTTTTTAAATTGCGCTTTAGGTGAAGGTTTACAGCTTGTTCATTTCTCATTCAGGGATTTATACATATATTGTTTTGTGACATTGGTTGCAGTCCCCACGGTGTGACAGCACATTCCCCTGTTCCACCCCGGGTTCCCTGTCCATTCGACCAGTTCCTGTCCCGTCCTGCTTTTGGACAGGAGCGGCCCATGTGGTCTCCTATATCTGAGTGAACTAAGGAGCGCGTTCCTCGCGTGGGTTGTTTTTTGTTTTATATCCCATTTAATCTTGTCTGAAGAGGGTCTTTGGGAATGGTTTCCGTTCTGGGCTAACAGCACATCGGGGGGCCATAGTTTCATGGTTCCTCCCGTCTCTGTCAGGCCATGAAGTCTGGTTTTTTTACGTGATTTCCCAATCTCGGTGCTGTTTCTTGTCAGTTCTTTATTTTCCTGGGAAGTGACAAGTGGAGCTTTTCCTGGTGCAAACAAAAACGGAACCTGCTGTTGTCGAGTCGATTCTAACTCACAGCGACTGTACAGGACAGAGCAGAGCCGCCCCCATAGGGCTTCCGAGGAGCGGCTGGTGGATTCGAACTGCTGACCTTTTGGTTAGCAGCCGAGCTCTTAACCCCTGTACCACCAGGGCTCCTCCTGTTAAAATGAAATCTCTTAATAGGAACGTTCTTTGTTTACGAACTTTGGGGAAAAGAGAATGCCAGGAGAAGCAGGAGACACTCAGAGTCCTGGCCCAGGGTCCCAGCCGATTAGGGTCCTCTGCCTCTGGGCTCCCCCCGCCTACGACACTGTGGTCCTGGAACCACAGAAGCTGCAGGCAGTCGGGCTTGCTGCAGGCAGCTGTGGAGGGGCGGGGTGCATGGGGGGCAACAGATTGACTGGCCTGATGATGGCAGGAGCTGGGTGGGGGTCCTTAGGGCCGATGCCCCTTTTCTGCACTTTTGTGTACCTCTTGACATTTCTAACAGTTGAGCCAGAAGAGGGGCTAAAGCTTTGTGTGCTGTAGTGTGTGAAGCCCTTGGTAAGGAATTTTCACATTGAGGGGGTACAGAAAGGCCCTCCTGGCTCACCCACTGTTGCTGGGTTCCCCGCAGAGGTGCCCTGTACTATCTCATGCCCAGGCACAGGCGGATGGCACCTCTGCTCTGCCTGGGACACTGCCCTGCCCCGCTCTCTGCTTGCCTGCTCAGAGGGTGCCGGGGCTCCACCGCGGACCTCAGATGGTCCTGTGTTCCTGGTTGGTGCGGCTGGAGGCCAGGGCTGGCCGGGGCCAACGTCTCTTCACCCGCAGCCCGAGGTCTCCTGAGCCTGCTGTGATGCAACCGTCAGGATTCTGGGTTGCAGGTGACAGGGATGCCACTTGAACAGCAGCCATGAGGACTTGGCCTCACAGGCCCAGGGGGAGCTGAGCAGCCAGGCTTCCTGTGTGCTCAGCGCTGTGCCAGGCGCCCAGTGTGTATTAGGTCACTCTGTTCTCCCCACACCGTGGTGAGGAGGCGTCCTGCTGCGTCCATGTTCATGGATGGGGACCTGAGCACGGGCTTTAGCAGCTCGCCCCCGCGGGGCACACAGCTGGTACTGGTGGGGGCGGAGCCAGGACGCGGGCCTGCCCAGCAGATCATGGGTGTGTGGCGTGTGGTTGTGCATGCGTGGCCGTGTACGTGGAAGCTGTGGCTGCTTCCTGGGGACACAGCCGAGCACTTCTGGCCTGGTTCTGCCGTGTTTTACCCTCCTCCACTTCTTCCTGGACCTTGAAGCTGGTTAACTGCCAGGTGCACCTCTGCTGGAGACAGCGGCAGCACTGCTGAGGGTGGGGGATCTGCCTGCACCCTGAAGCTGGCTGGCAGAGCCGTTTCTGTGGCCAGACTGGGATGTTCCCGGCCCATTTGCAGACGGCTCTGGTGTCGCTGCATGTTGGGTCCCACGTGCACCTGGGCACCGTTTCTGTCGCTCTCCTGCCCTGGGGGCGGAGGGGTTGGGCCTCCAGAAGTGCAGGAGAGAATGGAAGGGCTCCCTGCTGCCGTGCTAGAATGAGGCTGTAAATTTCCATGCCAGACACCAAGTGGGGAGTGACGTGTGCCTCTCTGCCGTCCTTCAGGCCCACGTCCTCCCCTGCAAGTGCGGCTTGCTGGCGGGTGGGAACCCCTGGCCTCCCCGGAGACTCGGTGTGCTCGGCAGACCCTTCAAGGCGCTGCTGTATGAGAGAGTTAGGGTGTCAGTCCTCCTAACGCCTGTCTGTCTTTCCTGTCACGCAGCAGAAGGATGGCACCTTTGCTGCAGGAGGGTACATGCCTCCTCTCCGCTTCAAGGCGCTCACCCTCTCGGTGGTGTTTGGAACCATGATCGGTGGAATCCTGATCCCCAATGGTAAGGCGGGGCCGCTCCGGTGATCAGGCTCCTGCTGGCTTCTCCTGGCTTCCCGTTCTCGCTTTTATGTGTAGGGCCCAGTGGTGTCCCCCCGTGTGTCCTGGCATTCAAACAGACCCGCGAGTCTTGCGCTGTCCCCTCCAACCTCCTAAAATACCCATTGGACCCTCCTCAGTGGTCTTCCTCTGGCCCACAGAGACAGGCATACAGTAAAGCTTAGCAGGTTGGCCTGGGCAGGGACGCCAGGCGCAGGGATGCAGGCCCGGTTGTGGAATCGGTCATTATAAAGCAGCTGGCGGCCCACTGTGATGCCTCCCTGTGTGGATACGTCACAGCGGGAGCCGAAGGCCCTGAGTTACTTGTGCTGTCGGAGCTCCGAGCCTGGCGGGCGACACTAGCTGCACGGCAGATCCCGGGGAGGGATCTGTAGATAAAGCCCACGGGGCCCCTTCCTGGCTCGTGGCCATGGGACGCTCGGCCACCACACTCTAGGCCCCAGGGAGGACGGGCAGCCTGTGCCCCACGTGGTGTGGGGCCAGCTTGTTACAGATGATCACATCAGGGCCCCTCTGCTGGACGGTCTCTCTTCAGGGACGAGCGGCTGTCTGCAGAGCTGGACGCCACTTGGAGATGTGCGCCTCTCCCTAGTTAGTCGTTCACTGCCGCGTCGATTCTGACTCATAGTGACCCCACAGGACAGAGTAGATCTGCCCCCTGGGATTTCCAAGGAGCGGCTGGTGGATTTGAACTGCTGACCTTTTGGTTAGCAGCCAAGCTCTTAACCACTGCACCACCAGGGCTCCCTAACTTAGGCCTCTCCAAATAGGTTCCTGGGCGGTGCAAACGGTCTGTGCTCGACTACTAACTTAAAAGTTGACAGTTCAGGTCCACCCAGTGGTGCCACGGAAGAAAGGCCTGGCAATCTGCTTCGTAAAGTTTACAGTCAGGAAAACCGTATGGAGCAGTTCGACTCTAACACATGGGGTCACCAGGAGTCAGGGTTGGCTAGACGGCAGTGGGTTTAGCTGTTTGGTTTCCTGAGGGAGGGGCTGTCACCCCCATTCCCTGATGAGGGACCTTACCAGAGTGGTGGCTCTGGGCTCCCAGTGTGGCCACTGATTCTGCCACCGGGGCAGACTCCGATGCCACCTTGCCCCCCGTGCAGTGGTGGTCAGGACGGGAGGTGTCCCTTGGGCACGGAGGTGAGCAGGGGCAGGCTAGCGGAGGCTGCCGCGGGGCTCACCGTGGGCTCTGGGGAGTCTGTCTCTAGCCCCGCGAGGGTTGCTCGCTCATGCCTGCTCCCTCCACCCTGTCCAGTGGAGACAGTGCTCGGCCTCACGGGAGCCACAATGGGGAGCCTCATCTGCTTCGTGTGTCCCGCCCTCATCTACAGGAAGGTCCACAAGAAGGCCCTCTCGGCCCAGGTGAGTGTGTGGGGCTGGCCGGGTGGGCGCGTGGGGCCGGCCTGGGTAGGTGTGCGGGGCCAGCGGCAGCCTGCACTAGCAGGGATTTGCTGCTGGATTGGCAGAGGAGGCCGGATAAGCCCCTAGTTCAGCACAAAAGGTACTCGGTCCAACAGGTCTGGGCAATGCTGGGTTGAAGCAAGTTGAACAGTTAAGTCTCCGTGCTGTGGGGCCACACAGCTGTTGACATGCTCGGCGGTGTTGGGAATTTCCCAGGGAAAGCTGGCAGGCAGTGTTGCACCCATGCATTTGAGGGTCGAGTTCTTAGTAGTAGCTTTTCCCCAAGTATGTTTATACATTTTGACCGGGTTATCTGTGTATGTGCTGCAAACTAATGCTGAGCCCACCACCACCCCTTCCCCTTGCTTCCCAGCCCCCTTCTGAGACCACTGCTGCTGTCATTGCTGGTACGTTCTGAGAGCCAGACTGTGTGGTGTGTGCGTGCGTGTGCAAGTGTGCTGGGGTGGCTGTGTGAGTGTGCTGGTGTGCATGCATGTGAGCGTGCCAGGGTGTGTGCATGAGTGTGGCAGCATGTATGTGCGTGTGAGTGTGCTGGTGTGTGCATGCGTGTGCTGGTGAGTGTGCTAGTGTGTGTGCAGGAGTGTGCCAGGTGTGTGCATGTGTGTGTGCTGGTGTGTGCACGTGAGTGTGCTGGAGTGTGTGCACGTGAGTGTGCCGGTGTGTGTGCACACGTGAGTGTGCCAGGGTATGCGCTCAGGTGTGGCATGTGTGCATGTGAGTGTGCTAGTGTGTGCACGCGTGTGTGCTGGTAACTGCTGGCGTATGTGTGCACGTGAGTGTGCCAGGGTATGCGCTCAAGTGTGGCAGCGTGTGTGCATGTGAGTGTGCTGGCGTCTGCACGTGAGTGTACTGGTGAGAGTTCTGGTGTGTGTGTGCACGAGTGTGGCAGCGAGTGTGCTAGTGTGTGCACGTGTGTGTGTGTGCTGGTAAGTGGTGTGTGTGTGCACGTGAGTGTGCCACAGTATGTGCACGAGTGTGCCAGCGTGTGTGCACAGCTGTGTGTGAACATGCACACTTGCGGTCTTTTTATGTAATTAAGTGGCAGCACAGCTTCCTGCCTCTCCTGCTCAGATCCCCCTGGAGCTTGCTCCACACCCGCACGCGCTGAGTGGCCGTCTTGTTTTTAGCTGCGCCGTAGCAGTCACTGTAGGACATGCCGTCCTCCGAGTCCCCGGCTGAGTCACGATCCTGTCTGTGGCTCTTACAGACACGTGAGCGTTTCCCAGGCTTGAGGATATCTCCGTAGAAGGTTCTAGAGCTGGAATGCCCACGTCAAGGAGCGTGAGGGCATTTGTAACTTCTGTGGCATTTGCCAAGTGCCATCGCGGCGCCCACTGGCAGAGCCTCAGGGACCTCTTGCGCTGGGACTTCCCGACTTCGTGGGTCTGAGGGTGGAGTCTTGGCTTCCTTGGCATAAAGCGGAGCGTCTCGTCGTGTTCTGAAAAGCTGCTTGCATTTCTTTTTCTGTGGCCTGCCCGTGTTTATGGTCGCTTTCCTAGGGGGTTGTTGGGCTTTTTCTCATTGGTGTATTTTGGTAATTAGGAAAAAAGTATACTCTACATAGCCGTAAAGCACGTTGTTCTCACGTGTGGACGGTTTGATAAGTGTTCCCTAAGTGAACCCACCCATGAAACCAACACCCAGAGCAAGACAGAAGCTCAGCAGCACCCTGAAGCCTCCCTGAGTGCCCCCACATCATTCCGCCCCCTCAGAGGTTACCGCTCCGCCGTCTTAGCGGCGTAGGGCAGTGTGCCCTGTCCGTCGCGGTTCCGCACAAGAACAGTGCAGCGGGTGCTGGTTTGCGGGTTGCTCTTTTCCCAGCACCGCATCTGCGTGCACCCACACGCCGCCGTTTCTGTTGGCTCGTCTGTTTCGCTGCTGCACGTTATCCCGTTTTCTGAACTTACCGCATTCTGCGGTGGCGGACCAGAGGGCGTCCAGTGTGAGGGTGACAGACGTCGCTGCCCTGCGCGTTTCCTTTGGCACATGCGTGTGCAGTTTCGTTGGCTGTATACTGGGGGTGGGGGTTGCCGAGTCCTGGGGTTATGAATATTCAGATTTAGTAGATGTTGCTGAAGGTTTTTCCAGAGTGGTCCCGCAGCAGTGTGAGCGCTCTGCTCTTGACCTCCGCTTGTCAATTTCAGCCCTTCTGGTGGGTGTGCTGCAGTACCCGGTGCCTTCTTTGGGTTTTCATTTGCAATTCCCAGATGACTAACGCGTTCAGCACCTTTTCATATGCTTATCAGCCACGTGGGTGTCTCCTTTCAAGTCCTCGCCTCTTTTCCCTGCTGGGTTGTCTTTTTCTTATTGATCTGTGGGCGTTGTGAATAGAGTCTCGATGGGAATGCTTTCGCAGATGCCTACTGCACATGGTGGCCCTCTCTGGGCTGCCTTCCCACTCTCGGTGGCACATTTTGATGAGCAGAAGCTCTTAATTCTAGCGTAGTCCTGTTTATCTATCCTTTTCTTTTGCTTGGTGCATTTTATGTCCTGTTTAAGAAATTTCTGTCTACCTGAAGGTCGTGAAGATGGTCTCCTATGTTATGTTTTAGGAGCTTCTTATTTGACCTTTCCTGCTTGCATCTGTGCTCCGTCCAGAGTTGATTGGTGTGAGGTAGGGGTCGAGGTTCGTCTTCTCTGCATGGGTATCTGGTTTATCCAGCACCATTCTCCCCCGTGGCATTGCAGTGACACTGTTGTCATAAACCATCAAGCTGTGTACGTATGAGCGTGTTGGGGACACCTCTGTCTCCTTGGTCTCTTTGTCTTCCTGTACCAGGACTGCCCTCTTTCAATTGCTTTATAATAGGTCTTGATGTCAGATAGTAGAAATCCTCCAACTTTATTCTCCTTCGAGATGGCCTTTCCTCTTGTTGGCCCTTTGCATTTCCAGCTAAATTTTAGAATTGGTTTGTCGGCTTCTTCCCAAGTAGCCTGTTGGAATTTTGATTGGGATCGCATCAAACTATAGACTGAAGAATTGACATTATCATTCAATTCACAATGTTTCCTAATTTCCACTGTGATTTCATCTTTGACCCGTGGGTTCTTTAGAAGTGTGTTGTTTGATTTCCAAACATTTAGAGATTTCCTAGTAATCTCTTTTATTTATTTCGAGTGTAATTCCACTGTGATTGGGGAACCCACACTGAAGAATTTCAATCCTTTGTTCTGTGCATCGGCATACAGTTTATTCCGACTAATGTTGAAGGGCTGTGTAGTCTGTAATGGTTGAGTGCAGTAACGTATATGTTGGCAGGTTGATTTTGCTAACTGTGGTTTTCAGGTTTTATATATTGTTACTGATTTTCCTTTATATCTGCTTATTTAGCAGTAAGGAGAAAGGTATGACTCGGGCTGTAATTGTGGATTTGCTTCTTTCTCCTTTTAGTTTTGTCTGTTTTTGCTTTTTACTTTGATGCCATGTTATTGGTAGCATATAGATTTAAGATTGTTATATTTTTTCTTGAATTGACCTTTTATTTTATGAAATGTCCCATCTTATAGCTAGAAATGCTTCTTACCTTAAGGTCTGCCTTGTCTGACATCATATAGCTACTTCAGCTTTCTTTTGGGTTAGTATTTGACAGTTGAGCTTTTTTCATCCTTTTTCTGCTTTAAGGGGTGTCTCTGGTAAGTAGTGTATAGTTGGGTTTTGTTTCTTCTTGTTTTTATCCAGTTTGTTAACAGGAGTATCTAGCAGATCGCTATGAGTCAGAATCGACTCGATGGCAATGGGTATGTGTAACAGTATTTACAGTTAATATAATCACTGATTTATTTGGGATTAAAGTATCCATCCTCCTCTTTGTTTTTCGCTTGTCCTACTGTCCTTTCTTCTTTCTAGTGACCTTTTGGGTAAATAAAGCATTTTAAATATTCCTTCTTTTCCTACATGGTGAGTCTACCATATGACCCAGCAATCCCACTCCTAGTTATCCGTAAACCAAACCAAACCTGCTACCGTCAAGTTGATTCTGACTCACAGCGACCCTATCAGACAACGTAGAACTGCCCCATACGGTTTCCAAGGAGTGGCTGGTGGATTTGAACTGCTGACCTTTTGGTTAGCAGCCTGAGCTCTTACCCACTGTGCCACTAGGGCTCCTAGGTCTATACGCAAAAAACTTGAAGGCAGGAACTCAAAACAGATGTGTACACATCCATGTTCATAGCAGCACTGTTCACAGTAGCCAAAAGGTGGAAACATCCCAAGTGTCTATCGACAAATGATGGTACATCAGAATGTGGCATATCACACAATGGAGTATTTTCAGGCGTGAGAGGAAATGAAGCTCTGATACCTGCTGCTGTGTGGGTGAACCTCGGAAACACTATGCCGGGTGAAGAACTCAGCCACACAGAGCCACGTATTGTGTGAAATACCTAGAGTGAGCAAACGCATGAACATCGGAGTTTATTTGCGGTGTGTGGGGAGAAATGGAGAGTTATCACTTCAGAGGTACTGAGTTTCTGTTTAGGGGGATGAGAAACATTTGAAAATGGACAGCAGTGATGGCTGTACCACATGGTCAGTGGAATTAACGTCACTGAATTGTACACTTAAAAGTGGTTAAAGTGGCAAGTGTTTTGTTATATATATTTTACCAAAATTAAAGAAGAAATCCGGGCCCCTGGTCTCTCTGTCACCCAGAACTTAAAAAATTTCCGAGGTCAACTCTTCAGACAGGGATTGGACTAGACTGTGGGATATAAAGTGATCCTCGTAAAGAATGTGCCTCTTAGTCAAGTAGATACAAGAGATCAAAGGGGCGGCTTCTGTCCAGAGGTGAGATGGGAAGGCAGAGAGAGTCAGGAGCTGGTTGAATGGTCGTGGGGAGTCAGGGGCGGAGGGGAGGAGTGTGCTGTCACAGAATGGGGTGAGCAGTTGGGGTCTTATAACAATGTACGTAAAAAAAAAATAATTTTGTTTGGGAGACTAACTTGAAATGTAAACTTCATTTAATTACAACAATTAAAAAAAAAGTAATTAATCACATCTCAATAAAAAAAAAAAAAAGAAATCCGTCGCCTCAAATGCATCCAGACAAAGCTCAACGGCAGCGGGTTTGGTTTTTCTTGGTTTGGGGTGGGGGAGGAGTGACTGCTAAGGGTGCAGAGTCTCTGTTTCGGGTGCTGAAGAAGTTTTGGAAGCACGTGGTGGTGAAGACTACCCAGCATTGTGAGTGTACTTAACGTCACTGAACCGTACACTTAAAAACGGTTACGACAGGGTTTATGCTGTATGCATCTTACCGCGATAAGACGAATATGTAAAAATCCACATATGAACAACAACCAGTTAGAAAAACCAACGATTAGTCTGGAGTCCCGGGACGGTGCTAACGGGTAAGCGCTCGATTGCTAATGAAAAGGTTGGTGATTCGAATTCACCCAGAGGCACCTTGGAAGAAAGGCCTGGCCATCTACCTCTGAAAACTCAGCCACTGAAAACCCTGTGGAGCACAGTTCTGCTCTGACACATGTGGGGTCGCCGTGAGTCGGGGTGGGCTCTGCAGCAACTGGGTGCTGGCTTATGGTAAGTCTCTGTTTAACTTTTTGAGAAATGAGGCTATAGATTTTTATATATTAATTTTTACCTGTTCACCAAACTCACTGTTTCTCTTGGGTTTTCCCACTCGGGACTGATGATAATGTCACCGCCCCACCCGTGCCTGCACCTTTCCATCTCTCCTGTCTGCTGTTGCGTCTTGCATCTCCCGCCGTGGAGCTGGTGGTGAAGGTGCCAGCATGTCCCAACACCGTGGGGGCTGCTTCTCGTGCTCAGCCGCTCAGCCTCATGTGGCTTTTGGCTCGATGTGTAGAGACAAACGTGTATGTTCACACACCTCCGTGTGGACACAGACGTAAACACACATGCAGTTGTGTGAAAGAAGTACATCTGTGCCCGTTCTGCCACGTGTTTTCAAACCAGGCAAGCGTGTTGCATGTCATCGCATGCCTTCTCACTGTGGCGGAGGGGACAGCAGAGTTTCTCTCTGCGACTTAGTGTCGCTGGTCCCCACACAGTCGGCGATGGACATGTCAGCCGTGTGTGCCCTTCTCCCAGTGCGCTGCTGCCTTTTATTTGCTGTCATCATTAGGTGGTGTTGAGACAGTTCAGCTCACGGCAACCCCACGATTGGTTTCAGATTGGACCATTGTGATCCAGAGAGTTTTCACTGGCTGATTTTAGGAAGTAGATCACCAGGCCTTTCTTCCTAGTCTGTCTTAGGCTGGAAGCTTTGCTGAAACAAGTTCAATGTCCTAGCAGCACGCAAGCCTGTACTGACAGACAGGGGGTAGCTGTGCATGAGGTGCATTGGCCGGGAATTGAACCCAGGTCTCCCTCATGGAAGGCTGGAGTTCTACTGCTCAGCCACCACTGCCCCGGAAGCCACAGAAGAACGTGTGGGTGCATGCCGGGTCAGCGACGTAGTTCTTAGGGGTGCCGCAGACACTTGGGCAACTGTCTGCAGGTGTCTGGCCCACCTGAGCATCGACGCTGCTGTTTAGCTGGTGCCAGAGTGAGGAGCCAGCTCCCACCTCGAAGCGTGTGTGTCTGGCAGGCACAAACCAGCCTCCCTGGGGACTTGGCTCCACGCTGCCCAAGGCCTGGGCCGGTAGACACTATCCCTGTGGCCCTGTGCGGCCTCGTCCCAGGGTCTCTCCCACCAGGGCAGCTCTGGTCACCCTGCCTGAGGTCCTAGTGGGCCTGTGGTGGTTCTTCAGAGCGGAGGGAGAGGGCGTGGAGGCTCGGCTGGGCAGCGGTCAGCTGGTGAGTGTGCGCGGCAGAGCCCAGGGGCCGCCCGCCAACAAGGTTAGAAAGACTAGCGGGTCTCAGCAAAGGGGGGTGCCTTGAGCCAAGCAGCGGAGGTGGAGGCACCGAGAGGGCCCCTTTGATGGCACCTTCTCTGCCGCTTTCATACGGGGTGTCTCCTGTCGGCTGCCAGCCGTGTTTTGCCACGAGCTGCCTGGGGAGCATGGCGGAGGGCTCGCCCTGAGGGTGCAGGTGCTTGGGTGGGCGGGCCATGAGGTTTTCCGAGTGGCATGGGGGAGTCAGGAGCTGGTTTCTGGGCCAGACCCTGTGTCTGGGCCTCCTTTTTGCCCTTCAAATGGCATGGTTCACCTCCTCCTCCCGGAGTGTGTTGCGTGTTCTTGGACTCTGGGGTGAGGCTCGGTGCTGGAAGAGGGGCCGGCAAGCTCACTGAAGCCAGGAGCCCCTGGCACTGTGGGGTGGTACCTTGAGTGGAAACCAGCTCAGTGCTCCTGGAACGACGGAGAGGGAGGAGCCAGGGGAGGCTCTCCTGGGGGCTCTTTCTTCCCAAGCTGGTCAGCACCCAGCCTCGGGCCTGGGCACGTTCTCCCTGCAGAAGCCTGTCCTCTGGGTGGTGGTGGCCCTGCACGCTACCCTTCCTGCTCCGGCATTTCTGAGACTTAGCGCGACGTGCTGGCTCCGGGCCGCGAGGAGGTCGAGGGTGGGGTGGCCCTGCTCTGGGGGGCCGCATGGCCTGGCCGAGCAGGGCAGGGATGGTTGTGCCCACTGCCACCGCCACACACGCCACTGGCAGGAGGCTGCTCCGCGCGTGCGGGTTTTAAAACAGCAAGAGCTGCAGCGGAGACCGAGTTGTGTCACATGGGTCTGCTGCACTCAACGCCTGAGGCCAGCGTTTGTGGCCACCCAAGAGGTCCCCCGGGGGTCTACAGCCAGCAGGGGTGGGGAAGAGCCTCAGGTCCAGGCGCCTGGCAGCACTGTCGGCCGCCTGGCTGCTCGGGCCTGGCCCCTGCTGGGGGACACAAGGTTCTCCCCTCACTGGCCTGGGTGTGTCCAGCCCACGGGGTCTGATCTGGGTGACTCTGGGGGGCAGTTCGCTTGCCCTGGCCTGGGAAGTGCTGGCCTGATGGGGCTGCCTCCTCTAAGGGGCCGCCATGGGCGGGTCCCCCTGTCTGCCGACGCCCTGAGATTCTTGCTCTGCTCGCCAGGGCAGCCTGGTCTTGGCAGCGGTGGGGGCGGCGCCCTGGCTCTCCAGGAGACATGATGGTGGCCAGGCCTCTCCAGTCTCGTCTACACCCACCTTCCGTCTTAGACTCCTCTGACCCTTGCGTCTCCCCGAGACCCCGCTCCTCCCCGCCCTTCCCCCATTTCTGCGGTGCCAGCAGGCTTGGTGGCGACCCCTGGTGCACGCGGAGCCCTGTGCGGTGGTGCTGCTGGGCCCGCTGGGCTGCACCCTGCTGCTGTTCCCCGGTCCCCCAGGCCGCAGCCTGCACCCCTTCTCCATCACAGAAAGGAAAGGCAGAGACCCTTCTCCTCTCCTACTTGCCCCCGACCCTGAGTCCAGCCCCTCCCCCACCCTGCCCCCACCCTGAGTCCAGCTCCCCCCGCCCCCGCGCATCCTGCCCGAGTGTGGGGCTGCCTGACCCGCTCCTGGCTGCTCTCCTGGTCCAGGTGGTCCTCTGGGTCGGCCTGGGCGTCCTGGTCATCAGCACATACACCACCCTGACCGTGGGCGAAGAGACCCCTGTGGACTTTGCAGAGGAGACCGCCGACGGCCGGCTGGGGGAGGTCGAGAGCGGCAAGAAGGCGGAAGCGGCCCGGCTGTCAGGTGCGTGCGCTGGGCCCTCACCCGTGCCCCTCACGCTTGCCCCCACATGGGGGCTCAGCAGCTTGTCTCTGGGGCACGTGGGGTACAGGGGTGCCTTCCAGACGCGGTTTGGGTATGTGTCTGCCAGGCTGCCTTCTGGTTGGGGGAGGGAGCGGGGGATGGGGTCCAGGCTGCCCCAGCGGCATGTAGGGTGTGGGCGTGTAGGCCTCCCGGCAGCAGCAGGGCTGAGACGGCACCGCCCGCCACGCCCGCCTCTCCCTGCACGGCTGCGGGAGTCCAGCCCCACTGTCCAGGGTGCCAGCAGGTACGCGAGTCTGAGGGTTCCTCCCCTGCGCGGGTTTGATTTGGTTTCGAGGATGTACGGTTTGAGCCTGTTTCCACCTTGACGGAGGCAGCAGTTATGCTCTGCCTGTTAACTGCCCTAGTGAGTCATTGCTTGTTTTCCCAGGCCGCTGGTGGGGTCACGGCCACCACGCTCCCCACTGCAGGCTGTCCCAAACGTGCTGGTGCGTGGGATCCCTCACCCCACGCACCTGCGTCCTTCGGGGTACACAGGTGCGTTTCGGGGCACAGCTGTGGCTACGCTTGTCTCTGAGGTGGTTGATGCTGAGGGGAGGCCCTTTGAGGCTGTGGACCCTGGTGTAGGTCAGGACGGGGGTCCGAGGGAAGCTAGGACAGTGGGTGGGGGCTTCAGGGTGTGGACCAGAGCGTGGGGCCGAAGGGCGAGTGGATACATGGCCGTGGTGACCACAGGCCTGAGCACGGTGCCCAGCTGGGCTGTGCGCTGCGGGCTTCCTGCCCATGGGACCCCCGGTTTCCTGAGTCTGTGCCTGGGCTGAGTCTTCTAGAAAAGCACCCCCCCCAGGGGTGAGGGATGTCTGGAGTCCCTGTAGCCCGCGGCGTCCTCTGCTGGCTGGAGCCATGTTGCTTGAGTCTTGTTGACGGAAACTGCCTCTCGGACAAAAGGCCTGGGACCCTCCTCGGTGTTGTTTGGCTCTGTCCCCGCTGCGTGTGCTGTCCTGTCCCCGTGGGGCCCGCGTGTGCTGTCCTGTCCCTGCGGGGCCTGTGTGTGCTATTGGCTGCTTCCTAAGAGAAGTTCAGAAACCACATTGTCTCCCCCTCCCAAGGGGCTCCGCCCACGTCCACCTTGCCGCGTTGTGGCTGAGGGGCCCTGTGAGATGGTGCCAGGACCACGCTGCCTTTGTGCAGCCAGTCGCGGTGCCCCGGCTGGAGCGGCGCTCACGGCATAGAGTGGTTTTCAGGTACTGATTGTGAGGTTTTTGTTGGTTTTACCGAGCCCAGGAGGTGTTGAAGCCTCACTGCTCACGAGGGAAAGGGCGGTCGTGTAGATGAGGGCCGTGTGCGGGCCGGACTCCGGCGCTGGAGGCGCTGCCATGAGCCAAGAAGCCTGTGCTCCCCCAGCAGTAACAGGCGCGGCGTCCCTGTGACGAGGTCCCCGAGGACCTGATGGCGCCTTGGCGCTGTGTGGTGACTACACCTCCTGGTGGAGGGGTGCTCTGCAGACCGCACGGCGCTCCTCACCTCACAGACGCCCGGGCAGCGTGAGGGACCGCTAATCTACGCCGCGGTGACGAACTTAATTTTCTTTCTTGCTGGGAAGATGACTGCTCAGGGGCACGGTGGTCGCCTTACGGAGTGGCGATTTCCTTTTCTTGTTGTATTTTTTCTTCCCCTCTCAGCTCCTCTTCTATAGCTTTGCCCCCACCGGACAGGCCCCTCCTGATTTGCAGCCGCTCCTGTTAGCGCCCAGGGCTTCTGCGAGGGGGTGACGGTGGGAAGAAGACGGACATTGTCACCTGCTGGGGTGGACAGCCCCACGGTCACTCCAGTCGGTCACTCGGCTCAGCTGTGGTTAAGCTGCGAGCGGCCGGAGTCCAAAGCCTGCTTTCTGTCAGCTGGCTATTAGCCAGTTGGGCGCTAGCCCTCCCTCCACCGCTGGTGCAGCTCACAGAGCTTCCCAGGTCACGGCTGCTGGCACGTGTGTTCTCTGTGACCAGAGACTCAGCCAGCAGGTCAGGGCGAGAGGCAGGCCGAGGCTCAGCGGGTCTTCCTCTTTCTGGGGTTGGGAGCCGCCCGCTCTCTCTAGCAGGGCTGGCTGAGTCCTTGCTCCAGAAAGTTCCACAGGCCCTTGTAGGGCGCGGGCTTGCTCTGGATGCCAGCTCTGCTCCTGGCCTGTGGCCCCGCTCCTCCAACGACCTGCATCGCCTTTCCAGAACGGAGTGGAGCCCGAGGCTGTGGGGCCTTGGCGTGGAGGGGCTCTGCTTTGTAAAGGCTGCTTTTCTCTTGCTGGTTGTTGAGCTTTGCTGCATTTACCTTGTGTGGAGAAGGTGGTTTTCTTTACAGTGGAGGTGGCTCCTCGGTGGCCTTCACGGTGACCCAGTTCTGTGGCCACCACCACGTGCCCCTGAGGCCCCTGGGTGTCACGTGCTCCCCCATCCCCCACCCCCTTGTGTTTGGGACGCCAGCATGGGACACTCACAGGAGGGAAGGGCCCAGCTTTGCCGTTTCTCCCTTGTCTTCTTTTGATGTCGATTTTAACCACCTGCGGGGAGAAGTTGGCGCGCGGGTGCACACACGCGCGCACACAGACACACACACACAGCTTGTAGCAGGAGGAGGTTTTGGCAGGCTGCTCGCCCTGCCATGAAGGGGTACGATCACAGACGGGCCTGACCGACTTGACAATTTGCCCCATCTCATTCGAACCTCCTGCTCCGGTACACGACGTGCCTGCAACGGCGGGTTCATGCTGCCACTTGGTGGGAAGGGCATGGAATGACGGGGCTGTGCGCTTCCTGCACTGGGTTAGGTGTAAATTGCGTTTTGACATATTTTTGTTATGAATACACGTGAAAAATGACAGTTTTCTGTGCTTCTTAGCCACTAGTGGTCGGGCAGGAAAAATATAACTGCTGGGGCTCTGCCGCCCGGCTGGTGAGATGTGGTTGTAACCAGGAGAAGCAGCCAGCAGGACGTCTGCTGCACAGAAGCCCGTTCAACCCGCCGTGTGTACTTCCAGCCCAGGACCCGGTCGCGGAGGTGGCCAAGGACTCCCGCAACGAGCTGAAGCTGCCCGGCATGAAGGACGAAGCGGAGCAGGCTCAGATCAAGGGCCCCGTGGAGGTGCCCCCGCGAGGAGACGTCAAGGAGAAGCCAGAGGAGGCACAGCTGGACCGCCCAGGCCAAGGTGGGTGGGGACGCAGGGTGCAGGGGCGCTGACGCCCTGACGGGGTTCTCAGGCGTGTGTCTTTTTCTCTGCTCAGCTCAGTCTTGGGCTCAGGTCCTTTCTGCTCTTCGCCTTTGCTTCAGGTTGATGTTCTGCTTGCCTGCAGCTGCTGCTCTTGTCTTCTTCTAGAAATAAGGACTGTCCTCTGCTGGACAGCAGTCAGACGTGCAGGAGGAGCCCTCCGCACCCAGCCAGATCCCCCAGGGCTCCTCGTTGTCCTTCCAGGGGAAGACACAGCTTAGGGGACACTGAGCTTCTGTTAAGGGTGACGGGAAATTCAGGAAGCGTTAATGGCAATGGTTGAACAATGGGATGAATTTAGTTAATGTCACCAAGCTTTGCACGCGAAGATTGTAGTTATTAAAAGTACTTCTGTCCTTTCAGGGGTTGTTGTGCCCCTGGGGGAGGCCCACCGTCACGAGCCCCCCGTCCCACATGACAAGGTGGTGGTCGACGAAGGCCAGGACCAGGACAGACCAGAGGAGAGCAAACACGCCTCCAAACACGCAGGCGAGGAAGCCCCGGGAGGCGTGGAGCCGGGCGCACGCCCCCTGCCGGACGTAGGAAGAGAGAGGCGGGCGCCCGAGCGGGGAGAGGTGCTGCAGGAAGTGGCTGGCCCTCCTGAGCAGCTCCAGAAGGCTCCAGAGGCCAACGGCCAGCCAGCTGTCCAGCCTGCCCGTGAGGACCTGGGGCCCGGCAACAGGGATGGCCACCCAGGGCCCCCGCCAGAGCTTGTGGAGGAGCAGGAGGTCCCAGTGGCAGGAGGAAGGGGGAAGGCAGACCGTGTCCCACCACCGGGTCCCGCCGCGGAGCAGAGCGGCCCTGGTAGGTACCAGCCGTGGGGCTTCCTTGGGGAGGGCCGGGAGGACAGAGGAGCTACTCCTGCTTCCGTGCTGGCTTTGCTGTCCTTCCCGAGTCTGGTGTGTGGAGCAGCGGCCACGGCAGCTGTTGGGGACAGGAATCTGGAGGCTTGACAGCTCCTGTGGTATCTGTCAGGCGGTTGTTTGCTCGGCCACGAAGTGTTGGGTGCCGTGCTGTTCCTGGTGTCTGGGTGCATGGGGACGGCGGGGAGCGTGTCGGTGACACTGCTGAGCGCCGTCGGAGGCTGGTTAGGAAGGCATCTGCGTTCTGAGTGGGAGAGGCACTTAGTGCTGGCACGCTGCCACCAGGCTTTGCGACAGTTAACTGTTTTATTGCTTCCCCGGTGATCATCCAGCTGAACGCAAACTGCGCTGACGAGGGGGGGCTTCTGAACACCTGCCACCTCCCCTGCCCCTGCACCCTCGTGCTCTGGCCCCTTCCTTCCTCTGACATGTGCAGAACCGTCCATGTCTCGGTCTCGTGTCTGCAGGTGGGAAGGCTGTCCTCCCGGCAGACAGACCTGAGCCCCCGGCAGGGCTGCCAGCCGAGCTGCGGGAGCAGAGGCACGTCGAGGGCCAGGACAACGCCGGCAGCAAGCTGGAGGGTGAGGCTGGTTGGCTCCACGTGTCCCCGGGCCCTCCCTCCCGTCACCCCCCAGGCAACCCCCGGGGACGGTCTGAGCCAGTCACCCCTAGGTCACCCCCAGGGAGGGTCTGAGCTCATCACTCCCAGGTCACCCCCGGAGAGGGTCTGAGCTGGTCACCCCCAGGTCACCCCCGGAGAGGGTCTGAGCTGGTCACCCCCAGGACACCCCCAGGGAGGGTCTGAGCAGCCCCTAGGACACCCCGGCTGCTGCTCTGTTGGGTCTTTCTCCCCAGGAGGCACCCTAAGGTGCCACTCTGTCCCACCAGCAGCTTGCTCTCCCGCACCTCCCACGCTGTCACACGGCTGGCTAATTACCATCTTTGCTTCGTCCTAAAGCAGATGTGTTAGTGCTCCTAACGCTCCTGGTACTTAAAGCAGCAGGTGTTGGGGGTGGGGCTTGCGTGCCCCACGCGTGGCTTATTTTGGGGACGCACCTCACCTGGACCTAGCTCCAATCTCAGCCCCCGCGGGTGGCGCTTACCCCCTCGCCCTCCACCTGCACCCCCGGCCCAGCAGGAGAGCACTGTGTGATCACCTGCAGCAGAGAAGTCACCTGTCCTCAGATGAACACATTGCCCTCAGTGGAGACAGGTCACCTGCCTCCTGCATCCCTCAGTCCGTCTAGTTCCCCTCCAGCTTTCGGCTTTCACAAGCTCCGTGGTTGTGTGCCCTGCACCCTGACAGATGAGACCCCCCTCTCTTGGGGGGGTGGGGGTAGTGACAGCTCTCCCGGGACGGGGACTCCGGTTCTCTCCTTCTCTTTTCTTGGTGACTGACGGCAAGGCCATCTCCTCATGCAGGTCAGGCCCTGCCTATCCCCCGGGCGTAAGGCCAAGCACCCCTGCAGCGATGCTCTCATGGGGTTCCAGTGTTCCGGAATGTTCTTCCTCCAGGGACCCTCGGCTCCGCTTGGTCTTGACTGGGGGCGTTTTGTGTGTGCTTTGGCATCGCAGCCTGTCCCCTCTGGCACATGGGTCTGGGCGGCAGGGTCTCTGCTGCCCTGTTGTCTCTGCCCATGCCTGTTGGCAGCAGGTTCCCGGTGGCCAGGCCTCTGGACCTGCCTTTGGGGCAGCCTCACAGGAGTCAGCACCACCCATCCCCAGGTCTTCATAAGACCCAGGCCTTCTCTTTCCCATGGAACGTGCCTCCCGGGGCCCCACAGTCTCAGCACAGCTGGTCCCCACATACTGGGCGCAGCAGAACCAGATGTGAACGTGCAGCCTCCACTGCGCAGGCCCAGGGCTTCAGCCCCAGACGCCCCCTCCAAACACCTGGAGGCTGAGGCAGAGCAGAGGGGCCCAGGTGTTCGTGGAGCTGGTGGTTGCTTTGAAACTCTTCCATGTACGCGTTTTGTCTCTGATTTTATTTACTCTGGCTGTGTTTATCGGTTCTGATTCCTGTAATCTGTTACCTAAACCTGCTTGATTCTTTGACTTTTTTTTCTCTCTGAGAAAGAACATTATCCTGTTTCCTAATCTGCTTTTCTTCTCTATGCCTTTCAACGGGACCGCACAGCCGAGATTAAAAAGATAGTGGCAGGTATGGATGGAGGATGGCGGCAGGGTAAAAGGCGGGTTGGTGGAGGGTCCGAACGCCTGGGCACAGCAGAGGCCACGGCGCCCTGCCACTGCTGGAGTCCTGCATGCACCCGTGCGTCAGGGCCTCCTCGGAGCCGCACGCGGGCCCCCAGCCCCAACGTGCCCTCCTGCTTTGACCCTGACCACGGTCCTTGGCCGGGCTGCGTGGGGCGTGGCTGTCATTGGGGCAGTGGGCGGAGTCTGGGCTCTGGTGGCTTCAGGCACTGTATGCAGGGCAGGGTGCCGCCTGTGCGGTTGCGAGTGTGTGCACGCATGGAGGGCTCCTCCGTGTCTCCCATCTGCCCTGTGTGTCATTTCTGGGCGGATGAGGTGCCTCCCCCCACCCAGGTCCACGGCTGCCCTGCCATGGGTCCCGCTCTCCTGGAACCCCGTCCTGGGGGGTAGGAAGGGGCAGCAGCATGGGGACCTGGTCCCTGCACCTTGTCCCCTGGTGGTGGCTAGCAGCACCGGGGCGAGAGCACTGAGGTGGCCGAGACCCAGGGGATGGCGCCGAGTGCCGAGCGCCTCCCATGTTGGGGCCTCTGCCACGGGCCAGGGTGGGCTCTGCCACATACTGTGTCCTCTCAGCCATGAGGTGTCCCTCGTTCGGCTGTGGTGGCTGCTGGGCTGGGGTCCACTGAGGCCCGGTGGCTGCCACTGTGAGCATGCTAGCTCCCGCTGCGGTGACGGCCACCTGTCGCCATAGGGAGGGAGGGCCGGCCGCGTGCCATAGGGGCCTGGCATGCTGTCACCCCACTGGGATGCTCTGTTCCCCAGAGGCAAGACGGTAGTCGTTCTGATTTGAACCTTCACACCTGACGGCCCTAACTCACCATCTCCCAAAGCTTCCCCATTGAGAATGCTGCTTTGTACTGTAATCAGGGCGGCGGGAGGGCTGGCGGCGAGGAGTGAGCTCCCGGCACCCAGGGCTGGCAGCTGGGGAGACCGAGGCGGGGGGCCAGCCCCCTGCTGTCCCTGGCTTTCCTGCCAGAACGACACCCCACACCTCCTCGCGGGAGGCCGCCTGTGTTCCCTGTTGGGCTCACTGCTCCTTAAGGCGGGCTGCGCTCAGCTCTGCTGCAGTTAGCACCCTCACCTAGCGGGACTTCCTTAAAGTCGATTGTCAGTACTCATTTAAAACAGGTTAGTTCGTTTTTTCCTTACACGCTGGTCATGGAACAACCGAGTGCGCAAAATAGACAGCCTGGCTCGCCAGGTGACCGTGTCGCCGTTTTGGCAGTTCCCTCCATTCTCCTCTCGGCGTTTTTTCGTGGGCAGGCTGGGGCGGTTGGGACCCCGCAGGTGCATCTGAGCCGCAGTGGGTAGCAGAGCGCACAGTAGGAGGTGGTGGCCCCTGCCCAGATCTCCCTCTGCCTGGGGCTGGGGCTTCGGCCTTCGGGGAGCTGGGCGGTGGCGGGCGCCGAGGTGGGGGGGCGAGCCCCGGGAGGAGCCCCGTGGGGGTCCTGGCCCCGCCCCTGACTGCGCGTGCGCGCCTGCCCCAGGCGCCGGCAAGGCGGAGCTGCTGGACCACGCGGTGCTGCTGCAGGTGATCAAGGAGCAGCAGGTGCAGCAGAAGCGGCTGCTGGACCAGCAGGAGAAGCTGCTGGCGGTGATCGAGGAGCAGCACAAGGAGATCCACCAGCAGCGGCAGGACGACGACGAGGAGCGGCCCCGGCCGGGTGGGTGCCGGGCTTCGGGGGGGTGGAGGTGGGAGTGGGGGGATGTAGCGGACCGGACGGGGGCTGGGGGTGTGGGCGGGGCGGGGGCCCGGGGGGGGGGGGGGGGGGCTGCGGTTGGGCTGAGCCTCCAGGGGGCGCCCCAGTTGGATTCCTGATTGTGTGCGGGGGCTGGGTCCCCTCAGCCCCTGCCTGGTGGCCGTGCTCATGCCGCGCTAACCTTCCCTTTGCAGTGGACGCGCAGGACGAGCCGGGGCCGGTGGCGCGCCGTGACAAGGACAGGGAGATCCCCGCCGGAGAAGCCGGGCAGGACCTGCAGGCTCAGGCCGTGCAACTTGCGCCCAGAGACCGCCCGGCAGCCCCCAAAGAACACGGCCCGCGGGCCGCGGGGGATCCGCAGGGGGCCGCGGTCAGAGGCGCAGCCGGCCTTCCTGATAGCGGCGCGGACGCAGAGCCCCGGGCAGCCCAGGCCAAGGAGGGGAAAGGCCAGCAGGGCGCCCCGCAGGAGCAGGAACCGCCGCCCAGGGGCCCGGAGCTGGCCGCTGCGCAGAAGCCCGCCGTGTCGCCCGAGCCCCCCCGGCAAGGTCGGGGAGCCCTTGGTGGAGTCTCCCAAGAAGGGAAGAAACCTGGAAAGGAGGCGGCGGCCATCGCCGCTGAAGTTGGGAAGGAGGCCGCTGCGCCCGGGGCGGGGGTGGAGGCTCCGCAGGTGAGACGAGACCAGGGGCCTGCGGCGGACCTGGCCCACGATTCCAAGGGAGGAGCAGCCCCTCGGGCCCCGTCAGCGTCCGAACGCCGGGGCGCCTCTGACGGGGGTCGGGGCCAGGCCCATCACCCGGAGGCTGGGAAGGAGGGGCTCGGAGGGGACCCCGCCGCGCAAGAGCCCGATCTGAGGCTGGAGCCCGAGCCGGGGCCCAAGGTGGCCGCCCCAGAGGCCCCGAAGCTGGACAACGCCAAGCCAAACCGCGACCTGAAGGTGCAGGTGGGCGCTGATTTGCGGCGGCGGCGCCGGGATCTCGCCCCAGACTCGGGGCAGGACGGCGTCCTCCTCAGCCTCCACCCCCTGCTGGGGCTCGGGGCCGACAGCCTGCGTGGTGCCCTGGAGGCCCAGCTGCACCAGGCGGCGCAGGGGGTGGCGCAGGTGGTGCGGAGCCGGCAGGTGAAGCAGGTACTGGGGGCCTTGGAGGAGGCGTGAGTGTCTCCTGCGAGCCGGGCCTGAGTTGGGCCAGCTCACTCGCCTGGCTTGGTGTCTCACAGCGTCATCCATCCTCCCTGCCCGGCCGGAGGCTGCCGCGCCCCCCACCCCCACGCCCTCCGCGGAGCTCACCGGACCCATTACGCCCTTTCCAGAGCGGCCCCCTCCTGCCCTTCTGTTGGCTTCCTACTTCATGGCTGTGACTAAAAGATTCCTCCAACGTCCCACTGGACACTTGGTCCTGTCAGCCTGAGGAGGGCCGCTCTGGCCCTGAGCCCCACCTTGGACACGCCACTCCAGGTGGCCCCTGTGTGTCAGACCAGTCCCACACTCCCGCAGCCCACCTCCCACCCTCAGTGACCTGGCCCTATCAGGCCTCAGAGCCAACTGACCACAAAGCTCATTAGTCAGGAGTTCCATGGTTTCCCTGGTGTCCTCTGAGCAGCGTAGATACTCTCCAATGAACACTGCCTGCCGCTGCCCGCAGGGACACGTGTGAGCTGCTGGGGGGCCGTGTCTGCCTCTCCACCTTCCCCATGAGTTTATTTTTAACCAATAAAACAACTGATAGCTGGAAATAGTGAAACTGGTATTGAGATGAATTACGTAAAAAAAAAAAAAAAAAGGCTCAGGATCCCACTGACAGGAGCAATGGCAAGAGAACCTCGTTAATAACGGTGCTGACTCAGGATACCCCTGGGCCGAGTGTCACCACTGGGGAGGGCGAGGGGAGGCGCACTGCACAGCGGCGGCCAGTTAAGGGCCACCCCCACTGGAGATGGCTGCCGTGGGTTCTAGTCGATGATACCCCCTCCTTTCTCTCATCAGTCCCCTGTCCGAGAGGAGGGTTCGGCACCTCACACTAAGCACAGCTGCCCTGGGTGCAGAAAGGCTGGTGGTCACATACCCTCTGGGAGATGCAGTGGCAGCAGTGGTCCACTAAGGCCCTGGGCTGTGGGTCTGTCTGCACGCACGGGTGCCCACCCCTATCCTTGGAGACCCCACACCCTGTGTGCTGGGCTGATGGGGTGGCGTGCTGCCACATGTAGGCCGCCCAGCTGTGAGAAGGACCAGCCTTTGAAATGTTCCTCAGAAGCCTGGCCACAGATGGCGTTCTTTACCTGCACGTTTTGAAATCTTATTTGATTGTAATTTCTATCTGAAAGATGCTCCCCCAACTCCAGGGTGGCCCCATCTTAACTTGGTCTCACCTGCAGAGACCCAGTTTCCAAAATGCGGTCACACAGATTCAGGGTGTTCATGAGTCCGAGGTGGGGGATACATTCCTCTAGTGCAGGATGCCTTCTGCCTGTCTTGAGAAACGCCCCTGGGTGAACCAGTGCCCACTAATACCCACCCCCCACCCCAGATAGCCCCCAGCTGGGAGCTCCAGTTCTCGTTAACCACGGGTAGGACTTTAATTCTGGCTTCGTTTTCCCGCTGTCCTAGCTTGACCCAGTTTTCTTTTCCTTTTCTGGACTCTCCTCTGTGGGGTGGTAACAGCCCCCTCCTCTTGAAGAGGTTGGAGCAGTGCTGCCTGCCCGGTGCACGGTGTCTTCTCACATGTCCACAGAGAGACAGGCACAGCCCTGGGATAGGCACACAGCACCAAGGCAGGCCGCTGCCAGTGGGGTAGATCCAAGGGCGTGAGGGACCTGAAACAAGGCCGCTTCTGCCCGAGGCTGCCCTGGGAGCCTCACATGCATCGGGGGCGTGAGGGCCTCCACACCTGGGGAAACGGGACCGATTACGGAATAGAATTTAGAAACGAGCCAGGTGAGGGCCGGGAATACACCTGGGCTTGCTGGGTTGCAGTGGCAGAGCGCCTGCAGCAGACCCCCACTAGGCTACCTCGACTCCTCCCTGGGCCCAGCGAGTGGCGCTCTGGTGTGTGGAGCAGGCTGCTGCAGGAGACAGGGTGACCGGCCTCCATGTGGGAGAGGGGGCGCCCACTCAAAGCAGTCCCCAGCGTGCCCAGCAGGTGGTGCCCAGGATCTTCAGGACCCTGATGGCTGGCAGGCGTTAGACAGTTTAAGTGTGGGGTCGGGAGGCATTCTGCATTTTTTATCTTATTTTTAGCACGTGGAATGAAAAATGGGGAACTGGAGTGGGCAGGAGAGATGTCAGTGATGAACTGGGGGTTTTTGACACCAAGTGGAGGCAGCGAAAGGGGGGCTGGGGGCCCCCGTTAGCCAACTGTTGGTCTAAAGTGTGACCCCACCTTTATCTGGGTCCAGGAAGGTAGCATTAGCATTCCCTACCGCGTGGACTTGTTTTTCTCTCACGGCTTGCTGCTGCTGTTAGGTGACGTCGACTCAGACTTGCAGCCATTTTCATGGTCAGTGCTTTGTTCAAGCCTCACGGCAGCACTTTTATAAAACAGACTCTGGCACCAGTTGTCCTTCTTCAAGTATGTTTTATTCTATCCCACACCCTGTGGACGGAATGCTGGGAAATCTCTCCTTCTGTGCCTGCAGCTCTCACTGCGGAGACACCACCCCATTCGGGAGCCAAGCTCTCCATGCCCGTTTCAGCCCCAGTGTCAGAAGTCTGCCTTGCGGCGCCGGTGGCAAGGCCTGGCTTTGCACTGGTGGGCCGCAAATGGGTGCAGCCCAGCAGCCTGGGTGGGTTGGTCCCTGCTAGCAGCCTCCCTTTATGGTGTTCTTGGCCTGAAAAAGAAGATACTTTGTCAGAACAGGTTTTCAGGTTAGATCTGGCTCCAAGGCAAGAAAACTCCCATGGCAAGGGTCTTCCTTGACCAAACGGCACACGAGGAACAGGGCGTGGCAGGTGGCTTGGCTGTGTGAGTCCCAAAGCACCAGGATGTTTGTAAAGCCCCCCCTCCCACCGCCTCAGTCATCATCATTCTACGATGAATTCCCGGGTTGGTGTCATCCCCTTATAAATACGTAAACTCCATGAAGGCAGAGGTTTTGTGGGCTTCTTGGCTGATTCTTTTGCTGTCCTGACATCTAAAGCACCAGCAAGCACTAAAACGCTGAATGAGTGAAAGAGAAGGCAGGCCCAGCTTCTGAGCTGGGACCTGCGCCCTTTCCACTAAGCAGGACTGCAACCCCGGGTGGAAACCCGTAGGGAGGCGGGTGGCCGGGCAGCTGGCAGACGATCGGCTCGGGCCCCCTCCTGCGCTCTCGGGCCTCCCAGCGTCCACCTACCGCGGCAGCGAAGCAGCTCCGCAGGGCCTCGAACTCCCGGGCGCAGAGATCCTTCCTCAGGTGTCCGCCTGGGGCAGTGGAGGCCTGCACGCACTTGCCGTACGCCGCGGCCTGCAGAGGGGACGGGCGTGGGTCGCGGCGGCCCTCCCGGCCTCAGACCCGCCCCGCCACCCCCCGCGTACCTCCCGGCCACCGCCCCGCCGCCCTCCACTCCGCGCGGCCCTTCCTGCTCCAAAGACGCTGCCTCGTCCGACAGCTCCTCACCTCGGCCCCGCAGGACGCCAGGCGTTCGGGGAAGGCGCGGAGGCGGCCCCGCACGCGACTCCACACCGCTCCGTTCGCTGACATGAACTCCTTGTCCCGGCCCCCGCGGGCGCCGCCATCTTGGGTCCGTCCTCTTCCGGCGCCAGCGGCCTCAAAGGCGAGCGCTTCCGCCCTGACCTTCACCGAGCTCTCTAATTGGCAGATTTCCCTCCACAAGCGCTTCCAGAGTCACGCCCGGTCTCTCAGAGTTTTGCAATTGGCTTCTGTCTTTGTCTGTCTCTGCTCTGGGACTTTGGACTTTGGTTCACGTCCAATTTGTTTACCGAAGCCAGCCTCAGTGCCCGCCCCAGCGCGCGCGATTGGCCAACGGGGCCAGCCTCGCGCGGTAATTGGGCGAGTCTGAGCCTGGCGGAAGCGGCCCGGCCGGGAGGAGGCCAACATCATGGCGGCAGCGCCGCCGCTGCGGGATCGCCTGAGCTTTCTCCACCGGGTGAGTGAGCGTCCGCAGCCCGGGGGGGTCCTACCCGCCGCCACTCCGGCATCAGCCATAGCCCCGGCCCGCCGCCACGCACAGCCCCTGCTCTACCTTCTCCCCTCACGGCCCGCCCGCCCCGGGGTCGCCGCGTCCCGCCGCCTCTCGGCTCCGCCAGCCCTCCCTGTGCTCTCTGGGCCTAGAGCCGCTGCGCCCCGGACAGGCCCCTCGGAGGCCCTCCGTGGCTTCGGCCTCACTCCCTATGCCGGCGTCCAGCCTCTCAGCCTCGGTCCCTTCTGTCCCCTCCTCCCTGCCCTGGTGTCCAGCCTCCCGGTCCCCCAGCCTCGGTGTCCAGCCTCCCGGTCCCCCAGCCTCGGTCCCCTCCGGTCGCCCTCCCAGCCCCTGTCCTGCCCTTGGTGTTCTGCCTCCTGCCAAGACTTGCGTCTCTCCTGAAGGCTGGGACACCCTTTTGTACAATGTAGGCGTGTCATTCTGACCCCAAGGTCAGTTTTCCTGGGGTTGAGGCCATCTCCTTCTGAATAATCTTAGTCGGGAAGGTCGGAACTGTAGGACTCGAACTTCTATTTTCTTTCCCAACTTAAAACATAAGGAGAAAGAAACGTGGTGGGCACTGAACCCCCACGGTGCAGACCCCCCAGACTCCATCCAGGTGTGGCGGGCATGTGAGCCTTGTGTGTACCGGCCCCTGTCCTGCTGTGCGCCACTTAGCATCTTGCAGACACGTTGTCCTGTGCTGACATGATACCACGTGCTGAGCTCAGCACCCACAGGAGCCACATACCACTCTAAACATCCCCAAACTCTCCTGTGTTTGGGCTCCTATGAGCCACGTGCTGGATAGTAAGAGGTGAAGTCCCATTCCTGTAAACAGTGCACTGCTCTACTAATGGAGGAGCCCTGGTGACGCAGTGGTTAAACCATTCTGTTCCTAACCAGAAGTTTGGCGGTTTGAACCCACCAGCCGCTCTGAGAGAAAAAGATGTGGCAGTCTGTTTCCATAAAGATTCCAGCCTTGGAAACTCTGTGAGGTAGTTTTACTCTGTTCTGTAGGGTCGCTAGGAGTCAGAATTAACTCGACGACAGTGGGTTTTGAGTGGGTGCTAATAGATCTCTGAAAAAAGACCTGGCTGTGTGCTTCACGAAGGTCACAGTAATTGTAAACACTGTGGAGCACAAGTCTACTTTGATACGCGGCTTTATTATGAGTCGGGTCGACTCAGTGGCAACTAGTACCGGTGCCGATAGATGAGCGTGTGACGTAAACGAATTTGCTTGAGCTGACGCACAAACGTAGAAACACAGCATACATCAGCTGCGGGGTAGCTTTGTGGAAGTAGAGCGATTGGGTCGGTGAGCCCCCACGGTTCTGTAACGTTGCTGCTTCAAGTTCTTTACGGATCGTGCTGTATGCTGTATCCCTGCAGGAAGGAGGTTCACAGCCACATTTGTGTATTCTGCTTGGCTATAGACATTGCTTTAAAGGCACCTTGAATTGTGCTGCACGGCTGTAGCGGGGGGGTCCCTGGGTGGCGCCAATTTTGACCAGCCTGGAGAACCACTGCCAGTTTGCCTGGATTCTCCTGCAGGCTCCCTGGCCGGTGGGGCAGTGGGTGCCCCTGGTCCCCTCCCCGATGGGTGTGCCAACAATGAGATCGCTGGAAGCCGGGGAAAGCTCCGAGCGCCGGGACAGCCCGTCTCAGCTGTTTTGGAGTTTCATCACCTCCAGTGGTCGTAGGCTCACCCAGTAGGTGGCTCCTCACAGCAGGGGCTCTTGTTCCCTCCAGCTCCCAGTCCTCCTGAAAGGCACGTCGGATGACGACGTCCCATGTCCTGGCTACTTGTTTGAAGAGATTGCTAGTATCCTTCCTCGGTGTCCCGGTGCGGGGAGTGGGCGGCAGGGCCCCGAGTGGCCCGGAGGTTACTGGGGTTCTGCTGCCCCAAGGTGGACTCCGCGGGCGCCTGCACCTGTAGTCAGGCGCGGGCAGGTCCAAACGTGGTGCTCCGGTGACGGAACATGGGCCCTCGAGGGAGTGCATGCTGAGCAGGCCGACGCGGCTGGAGAGCCTGCCCTCTTTCCCTAACCGTGCACCCAGACATCTCCCATGAGTCCCTGGGGAGCAGCCAGTGCCTCCTGGAGTACCTCCTGAGACGCCTGCAGAGCAGCTCCGGCCACGTGAAGCTCAAGGTGTGGCCGGGAGGAGAGGCGGGCCAGCTGCCGGGGTTGGGGAGTGGGGGGTGTGGAGGTGGCTGCTGATGGCCGCCCGGCCCACGTAGTTGTTCTGACCCCAGGTGCTGAAGATTCTGCTCTACCTGTGTGGCCATGGCTCCCTCTCCTTCCTGCGCATCCTGCAGCGCAACTCGGCCTTCATCCAGGAGGTCACAGGTGCGGGGTGGGGGGGGGGGGGGGGCGCCGCTGGGCGGGGGAGGGGTCATCATCCCGGCTGAGAGTGCCCCTTCTGAGCGCAGCAGCCTTGGAGCCCAGACTGCTGGGTGGGGACCTCGATGGGGTAGTGCACTCCACTTCTCTGGGGGTGGGCTTCCAGAGCGCGCCCTCCCGGTGCCCAGGGTGCCTGGTGCCTGGCTCAGCACCACCTCTCCTCTGTCTGCAGTCTTTGCTGGGCCCCCCGACCCTCTTCACGGGAACAGCTTGTACCAGAAGGTGCGAGTGGCTGCCCAGGTGAGTCCCCTCCCCCAGGGACGGCGTTCCCCTGCCCAGCACACAGACTGTCTCCGTTCTCCACACCCCGACCTGGCTCTGCCTGGCCCGGGACCGCCGCCCATCCCTCGCCCCTGACCCAGAGCCTCATTGCCAGCCTGGGTGGCCCAGAGGAGGTACAGGTGGTTCTGGGGCTGGCCGGGGCCTGGGTGGGACAGGGCAGGCAGCCTGAGCCCTCTTGCTCCCATTTAGGACTTGGGCAGCGCCCTTTTCTCGGACGCCGTGTCACCGCTGCCTGCCCCCCGGGCCCCTAGGCCGCTACCTCCCACTGGTACGTGACACACCCCTCCCTGCCGTCCTGGGCTCCATGTCCCTGGCACGCGTGCTGCGGTGTTGACCCAGGGTCTCCTCCCCCAGGCATGGGCTCCCAGCCCCGGCCCCACGGCACTCTTCGGGGCTTTGGCTACAGCCAAGAGAGGGGCCACACAGGTGAGTTCTGGGGCTGACTCCCGGGGACAGGAGCTGGTGCTCCAGGCTGGTCCACCTGCCCCCAAGGGCGTGGCATGAAGGGCAGGGGGCAGCCAGCTGGCCTCTGCTGCCCTGGCGTGCTGACCTCCCTCGTGCCCTCTGTCCACCTGGCTTTGATCTTCGTTGGGCTGTGAGGAGGGCAGGGTGGGGACAGAAGTGCTCTGTGGCTGCAGCGTGGTGCCTGTTCCTGGAGAACAAGGGTGGGAGGCCGTCGCCATCCCCTTCCCTCCCTTCCCCTCCCCGGCACAGGCTCTGCGGGCGGGGCCTTCCTCTCTAGTGTCCAGAAGGCTGCTGAGGTGGTGGCGAACGCCATGCGTCCCGGGCATGAGCAGCCTGGTGCCCAGAAGTCCGCCCCGGGAGGTGACACCTACCAGCCCGCTGTGACGCTATCAGCCAGCTATGGCTACTCCCTTCCTGGAAGGCTGCTCCCTGGGGCTGGCCCGGGCCCCCGAGGTACCACGGCAGGCACCTTGTTGGGGTCCAGCTCTCCCTTCCTACTGCCCGAGGAGCAAGGCTAGGGGGCCTGCAGCACTGGGGGCTGGAGGGGCGTCACAGCCACGGGGCAACCACAGTGTCCTGCAGACAGGAAGGCACAGCCCAGGGTGGGAGGGAGATGAGAGCAGAATTCACAGAGGGGCATCAGATTGTAGGGGGTGACAGACAATTGAGCTGCGGCCTCAGGGGAGCTGTTTGCCCACTGCCTGCACCCATTCTGAGTAGGAGCTTGGGCAGCTCAGCTTGAGGGGATTGTCCTGGGAGCCGGGCATCTGTGTGGCTGTCCACAATGTGTCCAGAGCGGCTGGGGCACCGTGTCCAGGCAGGGTTAGCCTCCAGGAACTCATGTCTGGGAGAAACAGGTGTGTCCTTGGGAACCGGGGTCCCAGCTCTCCTCCTTTGCTTCCCCAGCTCAGAGAGAGAAGGTAGAGATGTGACGAGGTGGAGAGCTGCTGTGCTGGGGGCAGCCCCTTTGCCCCCTGCCCCACGCAGGGCCCAGGCTGTGTCCCAAGTCAGCCATGCTGCGGAGACCTCCCTCCGTCAGAACCCAGGCTTGGTACGAGCGTTCCACCCTGGTCTCTCCCTCCCGGCATGTTCCGGGGCCAGGACCAATGTGGCCGCCCCGTCCCAGCTCAGGACACTGCCCCTCCCAGGCCATCTGCAGGTCTCTCCGGAGGCCCGTGAGCCGAGGGAGCAGCGTGAGGCCCTTGGGACCGACCTGCCTCTGCCTCTTCCAGCTGTGAGACACCAGCCGGGGCAGCCCGGGGGTGGCTGGGAGGAGCTGGACAGCAGCCCCAGCTCCCGGGGGTCTTCCCAGGAGAACAGTGGCCAGAGCAGGGCCTCGGACTCTGGCAGTGGCTGTGTCAGCGACGGCCGCTCAGGGGCCAGCCGGGAGCCTGGCGACCTGGCAGAGAGGTGAGGGGCGCGGCCAGGTGTCAGGGGACAGCCCCCTACCTTCTCAGTCCAGCCCTGCCAGGACCCACTCTCTCTGCAGCAGTGTTTCCCTCATAGGGCAGGGGATCTGTTGAAGTCCGCTCAGCTGCTAAATGTGTGGCCGGAAGGCTGCCATCATCTCTCCTTTCCTCTTTTGTGCTTCCTGGATCCCCCTTTTCTAGATCCCCCTCCCTTTTTTCCCCTTCCTGGACTCCAACTCCCTCTTCCTCCCTCTCAAGTTTCCCCCCTCCCTGGGTCCCCCCCGGGCCCCCCAATCCCTGGTCTTTTCCTAGGATTTCACTCCAGTGTGGGGAGGAGAGAGGGGTCTGCAGTCTAGCGGGCCAATTCCTCCCTTATCCCCTCCCCTGACCTGGTTGCTCGTCTGTCCGACAGGGTCGAGGCTGTGGCCCTGAGTGACTGCCAGCAGGAGGCGAGCCTGGTGAAGGCCGTGACACAGGGGTCACGCGCCTTCCTGAGCCGAGAGGAGATCCAGCACTTCCTCAAGGAGTGAGTGCCCGCCGCCCGCCCCGGCGGGTGGGGGACGCCCACAGGCCCACGTGCCCCCACTGAAGCCCTGGTCTGGCCGCGGTCACCTTGGGTCGGCCCCTGGCCCAGCTGTCCCTCTCTGCAGGTGTGGGCGGCTCAACTGCGAAGCCGTGCTGGAGCTGCTGACCCGCCACCTGGACGGGGCCCGAGAGCGCGAGCAGCTGGTGAGGCCTGGCGGGCAGGGCAGGAGTGGGGTGTGTGCGTGGGTGTGTGTACGCGTGAGTCTGCCCGCTTGTGTGTGCGTGTATGTGCGTGAGTGCAAGTGTGTATACTCGCACACGTGAGTCTGAGTGCTTGTGTGTGTGTGCGAGTGCAGGTGTGTATACTCGCACACGTGAGTCTGAGTGCTCGTGTGTGTGTGTGTGTGTGAGTGCAGGCGTGTATACTCGCACACGTGTGCACGTGCAAGGGTGTGGGGGGGGAGGGAAGGGGCAGTGCTTCCGCTCTGACTCGTTAACCCCCCGGGCTCTGGGCTGGGGGTCAGGGTGGGAGAAGCGCAGTGAGGGCTCTGCAGCGGGCCACCCGGGAGTCCCTGTGCTTGGTCCCACAGTGAGAAGCAAGGGGAGGGCTGATGGGCTGTCCTCCCCAGGAGGGACTGTGCTGCCCAGCACGGCAGCGTTGGAAGCCCGGTAGTCCTAGTCCCTCCCTCCACATTGCGCAGGCCGGGCGGGGAAGTGGGGTGGGGAAGGTGCGTGTGGTGCGAGCCCCCCCCCCCCGCCACCGTGCTCCCGCAGAGAGCCCTGTGCGCCCTGTCTGCCCTGGGCACCGCCGACCTGCTGTCCCAGGAGCACTTGCTCCTCCTGGCCCGGCCGCAGCTTCAGGAGCTCAGTGGGGGCAGCCCTGGGCCTGTGACCAGCAAGGCCACCAAGGTGAGCACCCAGGGGGTGGGCAGCCCTCTGCGTGCCCTCCACAGGGATGTCACGTGGTCAGAGCCAAGGTGTCAGGAGACGCTCTTGGTGGCGTGACAGGGTGGAAGGGAGGATGCACGCGGTGGACGCAGCATGGCTTGGGTTTCTGCGGGGGGAGGGCAGCCAGAACGGGTGCCCCCAGAACTGGGCCTGCTCTGTGCCATGGCACATGGGGAGGCACTCGGGGGTGGGGCCTTGTCCTCTGAGGTTCCTGGAGGAGCACAGGGACTCTCAGCCCTTGCCTCCCCTCTCCTCCCACGTTTCAGATCCTGAGGCACTTTGAAGCCTCCTGCCTGCACCAGCCCCCTCCTCAGAGGCTTCTGGCTGAGCCTGGCCCCACCATGCCTGAGAACGCCCGAACTTGCCCTCCCGACCTGCTGACGGACGCCTCGCCTTTTTCGGGTGGCCAGCCGTCCCTGCGGCCTCTGAGTCCGTCCCTGCTCCTACCTGAGGGCACTGCTCCTCCAGGGGGGCTACAGCCCAGCCCTGCACCCACCCCAGCCCCCGGGGACACACGTCCCACCTGGGAGAGTGCTAGGGACACTGAGACAGGCCTGGCAGTTTCCCAGGGGCTGGGAACCAGGTCTGGCATCCCAGAGGGGGGTCCAGAGCTTGACCCGGGCCCCGCAGGCTGCCTGTGGGTGCCAGTGGCTGGTGGCAGCAACTCCTTATTCGCAGGGATGGAGCTACTGGTCTGCCCCCGCCCGGTGAGGGCCAGGGCTTCAGCCAAGGAGCCCCTCCTGCCCCGCTTCGCTCCCAAGGCGCCCCGGACATTGTCCCCGAGGGCAGCAGCCCAAGCGCCTCTGGCCTCAGAGCTGTCGGCCTTTGCGTTCTTGAACGTCTGACGGCTGTCTGCCCTGACCGCCCACCCCTGGGGTCTCCTGTCCCGGGCCAGCCTGTGCACACTGAGGAGCAGTCCCCTTTGGTGATGGCCCACCCTTTGCCCACCCAGCGCCTCCCGCAGAGCGAGCACCATCCTGAGCAGAACCAGAGGGGAACGTCCCCAATAAAACCCCAGATGGTGCCCTTGTCATGCTGCAAACCACCCAGAGCTAGACAGGCAGCCTGGCTTCCTGCGGGGGGTGCTGTACATCCTGATGGCTCCACGGTGGCACTCCGTGATGCTGAGTCAGGGGCTGTCCCTCTTCCTGCTGGGGGCTGAGGCGCAGGCCCCAGGACTCCCAGGGGTGCCAGGTACAGAGCTGTGCCCTCTGAAGGCAGGTGGTGGGAGCTGATGCTGGTGTCACACCGTCCCCCGGCCCCACCGAGAGACACTGCCAGTCTCGTCTGCACGTCGTGTGTCCTTGGTACCTTCTCCGACCAGAGCACCAGAGAGGGGTGGTGCCAGCAGCCGCTGCATGGGGCAGGGGGGCGGGGACACGAGAGGGTGCTGTGGCAGCGCAGGCTGAGGGTGGGCGATGTCCTGGGGCCACTTCTTCAAGTCGTCAAGGCCCCACCCCATTTCTCGCTGGTGGGCTGGGCCAGGAGCCAGCGTCTCCATGTGGGGAGGGGCCGGGAGGAGGCCAGGAGGGCTTAGCAGCTCAGTTCCAGGTGATGTGGAATGAGACAAGGCCCCAGGGCTGCCTCCTCTCCCCATCTCCTTATCCTTCGTTGGCTGCTTGGGTGCGAAGTCTTGCAGTGGTGGGGGACGGGTGGCAGTCCTTGGAAAGCTGACCGCTGTTAACCCTCTGTTGTTACTGGGGTGGGGGGCCCTGCAGCCTTGCCCGAGGAGAAACCTGTTTCTGGTGTGGATTTGGAAGCAGTTACTGTGTTCTTCCTTTGCGTGGTGGTTTTGAGCTGAGGTCCCTTTTTCCCCCAGCAAGGCCATGAGCAGCCTCAGAGCCCCACCTGCTTGCTCTTGTCAGGTGGGGTGGGGTGAGGTGCTGGGAAGCGGGTTCTGTGCATGGGGCCTGAGAAGTCTGGCCTGTGGCTGTTAGATGTGTCATTCCCTGTTGGAGCCATCTCCGCTCACTCGGCCATGATGGCTTTCCTGAGTCGCGGGGATGGGCCTTGAAGGACATGTCCAGCCTGTCTCAGAAATGCCCTGGGAGGCCTCTGGGATCTGCACTTCCTAAATAAACTGTGTTTACACAGGGCTAGAACCATTTTCTCCTCTCTTCCCACTTTTTTAAATTCATTCCTAGGTGTTTACCCCAGAAAAATGAAAACTGATACACAAAAGCTTACAAGAGAATGTTTATAGCAACTTTGTTAATAATTGCCCCAAGTGGGAACCCCCACGCTCTTCCACTGATGGAGACAAAGTGGTGCGTTGATACTGTGGGATACTGTGAAGCCAGGAGAGAACCACATGGAGGACTCAAAATGCCAAGTGGAAGAAGCTGGACTTAAAGGCTGCTGTCTTAGCTGGGTTCTCTAGAGAAGCAAAACCAGCAAAGGGTATAAATATATATAGAGAGAGAATTATATCAAGGAAACAGCTCACGGGATTGTAGAGGCTAGAACATCCCAAGTCCGTGGATCAGAGTAGAGGCCTCTCCCAAGTCACACAGCTGCAGAAGCTGCCAAGCCCAAGATTGGAAGGTTGGAGAGCAGGGCTCCCACTCAGGCTGTGCAGATGTGCAAATCCCAGGTGCAGCAGATAAGCTGACAGCTCAAGTCCCAAGAACGGGAGATGAGATGACAGGAAGCAGCCGCAGGATCCAGCAAGAGCAAACAGCTAGAACATCTGCTTATATACAGATGCGGGCCACACCCCCAAGGAGACTCCCTTTCATCTGATTGGCTACTCACAGTATAGTCAATCATGGGAGTGATTACATTAAAACACGGAGAATCATGGCCCAGCCAAGTTGACACACAATCTTAACCATCGCAGCCACGTAGTGTGCCGCTTCATTTGTACATCTTTTGGAAAAGGCAAAAAATACAGTGATGAGGAACAGATGGGGGGGGGGGTCGGGCTGAGGGTGAGGGAGGGTTTGACTACAAAGGCCAAGCGAGGGATTTCTTTGGGGTGGGAGAATGTTCTACATCTTAACTGTAGTGGTTACACAACTATGCATCTGTCAAAACTGCACACCAAAAAGTGTGAATTTTACTGCATGTAAATTTTTTTTTTTTTTAAAAAGAGGAGGGACAACATGCTATATTGTTTTGAGAGTAGAGATAACTTTCTCTTGGAGAGACCAGGAAGGTTTCATGGAGGAGGTGGCATTTCAGCTGCTCTCAAGAGAGCAGAAAGATGAAGGGCTTTCTGGGAAAGGGACAGCGGTGGAACTCCAGACATGGGCGGCGCCTGGAGGACCTGTTTCACCCACGGGTATGGGAAGGCAGGTGCAGTGTCTCCCTGGGGACTTGCCTGCTGGACATGAAAGAGGAGTTTTGCAGATGACCAACAGTGGGGTTCTAAGTGGGAACAACCCCAAGAGGAGACCGTGGTGCAGGTGAGGTGGGGGCTCAAAACTTTTGAGGGGAAAAAAAATCATGGTTAGAAAAAGAATAGACAAGCGAGAAACACCAGTGCAAAGTGTTGGAACCTGAGGACGGAGCGGGCCTTGGACTTGGGGACAGTGTCCCAGGACTGGGGGGCGGGGCGTAGGGAGGGCTCCCACTGCTAAGAGCTGCTGGGTCCGGCCTTCGAGGCCCGTGCTTCCCGCGCAATAGCCCCACTCCAGGCTGCCCTGCAAGTGCCGGCCTCGGGACACGTGAGACTCCAAGACACGCGGCTCCCGGACACGCGAGACTCCGGGACGCGCGGCTCCCGGACACGCCAGCCCCCCGACACGCGAGACTCCAGAGAGCGGCAGCCCCAGGGCACGCCAGCCCCGGGGCATCAGGCTGCCAGACAGGCGGCCCCCGGGACACCCGCCCTCCGGAGAGTGGCGCAAGGCCCGCAGGGGGATCCTGAGTCCAGACCGGCCTCCGCGGAAGAGCAGCGCGGGCGACGCTCCCTCCTCCTTTTCTCCTCCCCGTCCCGTCGGCCCCGCCCCCTGACCACGACCCCTTCAGCTGTGTCCAGTCGGCAGTATGCGCCCACCGCCTTGCCCGCCCCTCTGACCCTTCAGCTGTGTCCAATCGGCAGCAAGCGCCAGCAGCCTTGCCCCGCCCCCAGGGTGCCCGCCCCTTCCCTCCGTGTCCAATCGGCAGCCCGCCGCCGCCGCAAGCCCCCGCTCTCTGCTGCTCCTCCCTCCCCTGAACCTCCTGAAGGACAGCTGAGCAGCCCAATAAGCTCCCGGGACGGCCGGAGCGGGAGGCCGCAGGGCCAATCCGGACGCGACGCGGTGCGGGTAGGGGGCGGACCGCGTGGTGGACGCTGTGGGTGGTGCCCGCTGGTTGCTAGCCGCCGCCGCGCGGGCCGCCGACTGTCGCC